TATTGACGTTTTTAAAGATATAAACTCATCCCAATGTTACACTCATCAAGAGTTTTCATTTGAGTACCCACATGCATTTTGATATATTTTTCATATATACATATATATAATTTATATAAATATATGAAAAATTGATGTGGGTACTCAAAGGAAAGCTTTCGATGAGTGTAATGTCAGGGTGGGCTTATATCTTTAAAAATGTCAATAGTTTACAAGATACAAGGTTATTTCTTAAATTAATTATGTATCTAGAGATAGAGCATTTTCGAATGCAGCCTAAATATTTATCATAATAAATTGACTATCGGTGAGAATGATATGAAACCTTGAAAAGGCACAAATTTAAGTTAAGACCTTTGCAATTACACTAAATTTCACTAAAAAAAAAAAACGATTTTATCATATGACTATCCTGAAGACAAAATTTTTCTTATTCTCTTAATAAGATAGATTTTAAAATAATGAAGAAAATAATACCTTGCCGATTGCTAAAAGTCCAAAAGTAACTGCCGGGTTAATATGACCACCAGAAACATGTCCAATTCCTTGAACAGCTCCGGCGACGGTTAATCCAAACGCCAAAGCAATCGCTACAACATTTTGGGTATTCACTGCTCCACATCCGAAGAAATTCAGGAGCATTGTTCCGAAGAATTCGGCTAGCAAAGCTCTCCATAGGCCGGCTTTTTTGTCAGTTAGTTCTTGAGCTCCTAACGCGGTTTTAAAACTCGCCATTTCTGTAAAATATAAATTATATTTTTTTTATTTTCAATAGAAAATCGCTTTTATATTACTAATTTTTCTATAAAAAAATTCTATTATAGAATTAAAAATTTTTTTTAATATTGAATGGTATTAATAATAATTAGAAAATTTTTCTTATTTAAATTCAAAAACTTGATGAATAAATTTTCAGAATTATTAAAAATACTTTATAAAAATTGGAGAAATTTTTTTTTAAGTATTTTTATAAATGAAATTGATGTAATAATTATATTTAAGAAATTTTTTTTAGCTTCATATAATTATCAAGAGCTGAGATCAATTAACGGAAGTCAATTTTGTATAAAAGTACCAGCAACAAATTATTATAAATTAATAGATTGAGCTTAAAAAAGAGCAAAACTCTTAAACCAAAAAATTCATTTTGACATTTTTAAAAAAATTGATTGTTTCAAATCAAGTAAAAAATTTTTTTGATTCAAAATTTTTAGATTAATTAAATTTTATTTAATTCCCAAAAATTATTTTTTTAGTTTTAAAATTTTATAAATTTTTATTTTTTTACAGGAAATTTATTAAATTGGCAATAAACCCTCCCACGAAATATGAGCCATATATATTGAGCCTCCACTCTACTAATAGACAGATAAGGATGTACAGAGTAATATAAAGACAATTACATATCCCAAGGAGTGTCTGTATATTTTATTTGGAAGCATGATATGATATGAAAGGTGTGGCCCCGAAGAATAATATTTTATTAGAGTTAAACTCCCCCGAAACGAGATACGGCCAGGATGTGTTTAATTTAACTGATGTGTAATGTGTAACGTTTTACTAAACGGTAACCATTAACCCACCAGCCAGCCGATTCTATTCTGCGGATGTTAATGATGATACAGCTGCGAACTCGGTGATGACAATTGTCACGTAAAAAAAATAGACGACCCATACACGATTAGCGGTCGTTGATTTACGCTGCTAATTTAGATCGAGGGCAGCGTCACAGCACCGCAGTTAGTTTTATATTTCTTCTTCTTCTTTGCTTGTATTACTATACGAAGAAGAGTTAGCACCGACTCTACTAGAAGCTACAAGGTGTTTTACTTTGTATGCAGGCACGAGAGTCAAGAATTTAATGTCAAATGTGCTTAATGCCTTATTACCGTATGTGCTACCACACACAAGTAATTTTCAAGACAGCTTGGCTGTAACTTACTTGTGTATACACTGCACATGCATTCTGATTGTCTTTTATCCATCAAGGTCATTAAGACGCATCTCTTTTTAGTGTTATTTAATTGGCAATTCAGGGGAATTTAGTTACCTACGCGATTAATTTATTTCCTGTATTGAATTTTTTTTAAAAAGCGCTTAATATTTTTATTGATTTTAATTTTTTTTTTATGAAATTGAATTTCTTCAAATTGTTTAAAAAAAAATTTTTTTTATTTTTTAAATATAACTTTTTTATTGCAGCAAAAATTAATCTCTTTACTTTCATTTAATTATTTTTACTATAAAATGTCTCTTAAATTTTTTATTCAGAATTTAGACAATTTAGTTAAAAAAAAAATAATTTTTTTGTTTTAATTAAATTTATTCAGATTAAAAAATTTTTTTTTAATTAAAAAAAATGAATTTAAAAATTTTTTTTATTTTATAATTATAATTTTCGGTTTTTTATTGCAGCAAAAATAAATGTCTTTACGGATGATTTGTAAACAAAATGTAAATATTTTTATCGAATTAACAACTTAATTTCACTTTTTATTATACTTATTATTACTTATAATGTTAATCAAGACATTATTGTAAAAATTTTTTCTTTTTTTTTTATCTTGTCAATATTGTATATTCTTCTTTAACATTGTATGTATATTATATTCTCATGTGCAAATTATACACTTTTTACCCCCCCTTGCTAAAAACAAATTTTGTAAATGTTTAATGCAATAAATAATAATAATAATAATAAATTATTTATTATTATATATTTAAATTTTTTAATTATAATTTATTTAATTATTTTTATTATTAAAAGTCGCTTAAATTTTTTATTTAAAATTTAGGCAATGTAATTAGAGAATAATTAATTTTTTTATTGTAATTAAATTTATTTAAATTAAAAAAAATTGAATTTAAAAATTTTTTTTTTTGTTTTTTACTGCAGAAAAAATTTATATTTTTAATTTTATTAAATTATTTAAAACAAGGTATGACTAAATACGACAAATTTTATTTAAATTAATAGAAAAAACATCTGGTACGCGCTTATGGTCTTTTGAAATAAAAGTAGAGGAGAAACAAGACGTCAAGAGTGGGTTGACATTATAAATTTAGACTACTTTATTATTATTATTATAATAACAATAACAATAACAGAGAAGTCATTAAATTTGTTATTGTTATTTTTGCTAAAATTGAACTAAGTAATGTTATTAATAATTGTGTGTTTGCTTGCGAAATTAATTTTGAGATAAAACGAGAATTATTCTTGTCTTGTGGAAAAAATTTTGTTAAGAATTAATATAAATAATAATGAGTTAACGTTTCAAGGTAATATCGTTGGTAAAAATTTTAAACACTTGGTTATAATTAAAAACTAGAATACTCCCATTTATCCTTTCACTGGTTGGTGAATTTTTATTATTTAAGTGACTTATTTTTCAAGGTAAAAATTTAGAACATATTGACTGAGTCAAAGATTGTGAATAAAAATTAAATAATTATTAACAAAAAATTTTAATCATAATCAAATATTGATTATAAAAAAATTGGTTGATTTTATATGAGTCATGTAAAAATTCCGGTTCAATAATAATAAAGTAATATTTTTTAAATCATAAACACAAGAATGAATCTCACTCTAAGAAATCAGATCATAAAAAAAATGTGAATAAAAAAATAAATCGGTCACTAAATTTCTTAGAAATTGTGAGATTATTATTATTATTATTATTATTATTAAATTTTTTTTACTGAAAAACTAAATAAATAAATAATTAAAAAAAAATAATAACAATAATAATTTTGAAACTTTTATAAAATTATGAGTTGAAATTATTATTATTAATTATCAAAAATTTTTCATTAATTAATTAAATAATAAAAAAAAATTTCAGTAGTTTTAAATTTAAAAAAAAAATATAATTTTACGGGAAGAAAAGTATCATCAAAAGTTGAATGACACGAAAGTAGTCGATGTCAATTATTACCCGCAATTTATCTTCAGTACCTGTATCTGTAACTAGTAAGCTAGCTTGTTATTGTTATTATTATTATAGTACCGAGTACAAACAAGTAAATCGTTAGCCGTTTAAGGCCAGTCTTGATCTCTCCAATCGCTTTTCTATTTCTTCACGCGGAGTTCACCCGAGAATCGGAATCGGCATCATCGATCCTAAAAGGAGTTTTACCGTTTTTCATTACAATTAATTTACTTACTTCTACTCGTTATATTAAATAGAATAATTAATAATTAATCATCCAATCTTTTTTTGATTAAATTTAAAAACAAAAACAAACCAAATCACAATTGTTAAAAATGTAAAATTTTGAATCTTTGATTACTTACCGATTTTTGTTAAAAATCAACAAATTTATTGATAATCACTCGAAATTATTATTAAAAAAATGAATCAACCGATTTGTTAAAGTATAGTTGAATTGTTTGAGGAAAGAAGCACCTGTTTAGCGGTTCAGAAGCACACGGACGGTCTTTTATCGAACTGGACTGAGTCAAAGAGTTAACCAATCTCATAGAGGCATGAGATGTATCTAAGTGAAGTAAAGTTGGCTTGAAGGATATAGTGCTCTGCTCGATGATGCCGTTCCGTGGTGGATTGAATGCCAACCACGACGACGCGATCACCGGGATCGGAGAAGGGATCGTTTTGTTCTGCTTCTTATTCTGTTTTAAATCATTCTCCCACACTTGAATTCAATTTTTGTATATTGTATAATCATCATAATAAATTAATAAATTAATAAATTAATAAATAATAATAATAATAATAATAATAATAATAATATTTTTAGTATATGTAAATATAAATAAATGTATGAGTATAAGTATGGAAAAAAAAGTATGATACACATTGCAAACACATAAAAAGAATGGTAATTTAAAGCACTTGATAAGACGAGGCTTGTTATCTCTACGCCCCAACTTCTAGAGCGAGCTAAAATCCAATACTTGTTTGGGTTTTTCATCATCAGAACATTTAAATATTGACATAGGAGTTTGCATGCTGATGTCAATAACAATAAGTAACTGTAACCATATGCCAGATAGAAGATATAATATTATTTGCTAGATTCTAAGATACTATCGATCTAACATTCCTTGAGAATATTATTTTTATTTTATTCCAATTCGATGATCAGTATGGTTAAGGAGAAGAATCTACTTAAGATATTTATTTTTTAGGGATAACTTTTATATAGTTTTTTTTTCTTGTTATTGTATGGAGTTTTTATTAAGATGTTTACGAGCGACCTCGCTGGAATTTATGTTGAGGATTTGAATGTTTAGATAGTCTTTGTGGACTTTGACCCCCAATTTTTTATCAAATAGAGTTTATATTTAGAAGATAAAAGTTTTTAGATCATTTGGTGAGTTAGAAAATTTTCACAAGAAATTTATATGGTTTCAAAAAAATCTGGAAAATTTTTGCAAACAGTTAGAATTTTTTAACAATTATTTTCTATAAATTTTAGATTTTTTTTCTCGTTGGAAATTTTTTAGAATTTCTTTCACGTCTGCTACAATATTTCCTATAATTTTCCACCTCAAAACTTTCCTGAAACAATTATCAAAAGCATTAAATCTATTAGTGAGTAAACAACTTAAAACACCATCCAATTATCCAATTAAATTTATTTCCTGTGCAAACAATAAAATAAAAACCGAACGCATGAATGAACTGCGCATGGAAACCTGAGTCAGCTCATTATTTATTTTAAAGAAGTTATTACAAACACATTCTAGAAAACAACCAAGGATAATGCCGTCACTTAATATAATTTCAGGCATCATCATGATGATCATAATTATCCTATCAATAAATAAAAAAATTAATCATACGAATGATTATATATTTCAGTAGTAAATCGATAAAGTAATAACCACAGATCTTAGTCTTAGTCTATAATTAAATAAACTCATGAAAGTATCAATTCAACTGGTCTCATTAGCAGTGCTGTGTACCATTGATTATTAAGAAGCTGCGTTAGATCATATGATTCTGTTTAAAATCACTTGATCGGATTAAACTGCCCATTAAATATTAGGCGTCTGTTATTCTGTTATTTGCTATTCAAACCTTTTTAATCTTTTTATTATGTTACATTTATGTATCAACTAAAATTACATGCTATCAATCAAATTTCAATTGATCTACAATCGCTCATCTCGGCCGTGGAATATTCTCTTTTTTATTTCTATCATTACATTAAATAAATTAATCCATCTCTGTTTGTAAAAATAGCTACTTTGAAGTTCATGGAAAATTTCCATTTTTTAATACAGATTATTATTATTATTTATAATGTTTTTATTGTCTGAAGACTGGCTCTATAATACTAACCAGATATATATGTATAAAGATATGAATGTAGATCAATATAGATATCTCTGACCGCAAGAGGAAGACTATGAGAGATAACAGCTCGCGTGCAAATACAATATACCGTCAACAATTAACTTTATGACTGCGTGACCATTCCAGGGATGGAATAATAATGGTAAAGGTAATATTGAAGGTGCTGGGGTTATTTGTCATTGATCGAGTGATAGATGATAAATGGAGAGTTAAATAATTATTTCTTGTCGTAATACTATTAGTATGAGTATTGTAACATTAACATTAATATTATTATCAATATTACTATTGCTATTTGTGAAGGATTCTTTCACTTCTATATTTAATAGAATGAGTAAGGCCCCTTCTTAAGAAAAATAATTTAAGATAATCAAAAATGATTTGAAACACTTTAAAATCATTTGAATTGACTAATCTATAGATATATACTTTGCATGGATTAAATCATTTTAAATTATTTTTTTTTAACAAGGGATGTGAAAATTTTGATTAGATTAAGTATTTTTTATTTTTTTCTTCGGTGGTTTTTTCCATTTATAATATTTTTAATAATAATAATAATTTTTTATATATAAATAATGGCTATCCAGTCTAATACTTGAATTTTTTCTCTAATTATTATTCTTAATATCGTTAGCCTGTATTCCTTCCAGGCATAAACAATTTTTAAATTCTTATCTAAATTTTAGACTGGATCTAAGTATTAGACTGGATAGCCATTATTTATATATAAAAAATTATTATTATTATTAAAAATATTATAAATGGAAAAAACCACCGAAGAAAAAAATAAAAAATACTTAATCTAATCAAAATTTTCACATCCCTTGTTAAAAAAAAATAATTTAAAATGATTTAATCCATGCAAAGTATATATCTATAGATTAGTCAATTCAAATGATTTTAAAGTGTTTCAAATCATTTTTGATTATCTTAAATTATTTTTCTTAAGAAGGGGCCTTACTCATTCTATTAAATATAGAAGTGAAAGAATCCTTCACAAATAGCAATAGTAATATTGATAATAATATTAATGTTAATGTTACAATACTCATACTAATAGTATTACGACAAGAAATAATTATTTAACTCTCCATTTATCATCTATCACTCGATCAATGACAAATAACCCCAGCACCTTCAATATTACCTTTACCATTATTATTCCATCCCTGGAATGGTCACGCAGTCATAAAGTTAATTGTTGACGGTATATTGTATTTGCACGCGAGCTGTTATCTCTCATAGTCTTCCTCTTGCGGTCAGAGATATCTATATTGATCTACATTCATATCTTTATACATATATATCTGGTTATAGCTATTTGTTTCCCTGACAAACCTGCACGGTCAAGTCCTGGTTCAATCTAAATCTACACGGATCTAAATCAACTGCATACATACATATATAAATATTTTACGAACAAAATTATATTGACGCTAAATTATTACCTAAAGTACTCGCGTAACCCTGACCTCCATGTTTTTATTATTTAAATTAATCTTTATTGTTTAATTAATTTTTAATAATTTATTCCAAATTTTTACTTTTAACTGCTAGCGGTGAAGATGATACTAAAGTTGACTGACAGGTGTCAATTTTTTTAAAAAATTAATTACAATAAAAAAATTTCACTAATATTTTTTTTTCATTTTCATTTGTAGAATTTTTTAATTAAATTTTTTTCATAAAAATTTAGTTATAAAATTATAAAAAAATTTTCAATGTCTGTCAACTTATGAAAATTAAGTTAGCCGACATCTAAAAATTTTTAGAATTTTTTTCTCTTGAAAAAATTACTATAAAAAATTTTTTTTTTAATTTTATTCATAAAAAACCATAAGTACAATTTTTTTAAATATTTTTTAGTTCTAATTAAATAAATGAAAAAGAATAGAAAAATTAAAAACGTCAGCTAACTTTAGTATTATTGTCAACTTCAGTATTATAGCAGTGAAGAAAAATTTTAATTTTATTCATAAAAAACCAAAGTACAACTTTTTTTAAATATTTTTTAGTTCTAATTAAATAAATGAAAAAGAATAGAAAAATTAAAAACGTCAGCTAACTTTAGTATTATTGTCAACTTCAGTATTATAGCAGTGAAGAAAAATTTTCAATAAAAAAACTTGATTATTTTTATGACACTGAAGTTAGCAGACGTCTAAAACTTTTTGATTTTTTTTATTAATTAAATTACAATTAAAAAAATATTTCTAAAAAATTGCACTTATAGTTTTTCAAGTTTTTTACATGTGAAATTTTTTTTTTTAATTGTTTAATTGAAATTTTGAAATGTCGGCTAACTTTATTTTTTAATAATTATCAATAAAATTTATCAATAATTAAAAAAATATTTTTAAACAATTGCGCTTTTAATTTTTTAATTCATAATTTCTTCTTTCAAAAATAATTTAAAAACTGTCACATGTCCGCCATTTTGAATTTCACATCTATAAAAAAAAAAAATTAAACATTAAATTAAATAAAAAAAAATTAGAAAAACGGTTCACCCTAAAGGCCATCCCTGCAACTTCCCGCTCATTTTGTACTTAAACGCTTCAAACTACACATTACGTTTTTGAGCTCGAAGATATTATTATTACGCAATAACTTTTGAATGAATGAACCGATTTTCACGCGGTTGGCTGCAATCGACGCAGTTTTTGAAGTTCCATGAAAAATTTTCAAGTTTAAATCGATTGAGCCATGAATTTCGAAGTTATTACAAAAAAACACTTTTTTCGATTTTTTTCGACAACGATATCTCACGAACGCATCAACCGATTCTAACGTTTTTGGTGGCGATCGATGGGGGTTTTCAAGGTTAAGAGCTGATTAGTTTTTGAGACCGATCGGTTCAGCCAATTCGGAGATATATAAAAAAAATAAAAAAAAACAACTTTTTTTTTCACTTTTTTTGCATTTTCTCGAAATCTACCGTTCCGAATCGGTTCAAATTTTCAGGAAATCTAAGTTTAGTGAAGTCCTTTCGAATGACACCAACCGCGATGAAATCGGTCAAGTCGTTCAAAGGGAAGCTTTAAACGCCGAGATCTGATGAAAACTCGATTTTTGTAAAACGGGGTGAAAAGAATAACTTCCCGATTTTTGAAAATCTGAGATTTTTAGCGGGAAGTTAAAAATAAATTTCAATTATTATTAAACATATTTTAAATGTAAAACCGTAAAAAAATCAATTAATTAATAAACTGACCTAAAATGCAAATTAATACCCACTAACTCTAAAATACGCTACTAAATGACTTAACAAGAATCGGAAGTACTTTTAAATTAAAGGAAAAAAAAGGTTAAAAATTCACTTAAAAACATGAATAGCAAACATCAACATTTAATTAATATTTAATATATTTTCTGTTCTAGATAATAATCTAGCGATGGTTTTAATCACGCAGCGAGTAGCGGTGTGCTGACACTGCAGAAAATATTTTCTAGTGTCAAGGCCTAGGTACATAAAAAAAAATAAAACACATATTAGTTGACACATGTGCCAGGTGGATCGTTTACGTTTAACTTAACCGTTAACGCTTGTTATAACAAACCTTTGACAAATATTATTAATTATTATTTACCGTTGCGCAATAGTTGCTCTAGTTTTACGTCACACTATTATTTATTTATTTTTTTTTTTTTTCAATGAAATTACTTTTATTAGCTGTAAATTTTTTATGTTCCAGGTAGAAAGGTTAAACGTGTTATTTAAATTTGAATTGTAAAGAAGATTGTTGGGAGTGAATAATGGGGGGTTGGAATGCCCTCAATGGGCTCTAGTGTTACATGTATATTGGTGGATTGTAGTAAGGGTTGATTGGAGCGGTTCACTGAAATGCCTGGTAAGCCAGTTGGTACGCACGAGTCTTATTTGCAACTTTGGCGAGAGTTTGTTGGTCGTAATACGGGATTTAATAAGGCCGCTCAAAGACGCGTTGTTTTTATCGTAAGTTTTTTTTTTTTTTTATAATTATTATTTATTTAGTTTTTTTACTGATTGAATGCAATTTGCAGTAACAGAGTGGAAATATTTTATTGCAATTATGCAATTTCCTCTTCCAGCACACAGCTAATTTTTTTTTTCAGTGATCTTCATTTATATGTTGCCGGAAAATTGTCACCGACTTAGTTTTTGTACGGAAAAATTTTATAATTGTTTATGTTTATGTTTTTATTCATTCTTTTATTTCTATTTCAAGACTCCGGCTGCTATGAACATTGCGACTGTCGTTCCAGCCCCAGAAACTCCGAATGATGATTCAGTGAGCGAGCAGGATGCGCATTCTTACGAAGGACGTAAGTTTTATTTATAATAAATTATAATCATTATTTTATAATGAAAATTAAATTTTAGTTCTAATTTTTAATTAAAAAAAAAAATCAAAAATTTTTTTTATTAAAAAAATTATTGCAAAATAATAAAAAAAAATTTTCATTTGTAAAAAAACTTGAAAAACTCTAAGTGCAATTTTTAAAAAATATTTTTTAGTTCTAATTTAATAAATACAAAAAATTAAAAACGTCGGCTAACTTTAGTGTTATTATTTTATAAACATCTAAAAATTTTTTTTATGTTTAAAAAAAATTAATTACTGTAAAAAAAAATATTTTTTGAAATTCGCACTTATTATTTTATTTAATTTCTTTTCTAAAATTTTTTTCTGCCCTCCGGCCGGAAAGTGGCAACTTTCTGGCCGCTGCGCTAAACAAAGTTGCCACATTCCGGCTACGTCGAGCAGAAAAATAGTATACGAACCTTGGCCAGTAAAAAGTAAAGCCTCAGATCACATGTTTGTCAACCTCGGCTTCGCCTCGGCCAACAATTACATGTGATCTGAGACTTTTCTTATTTTACTGGCCTAGGTATGTAATATACTATTTATTATAATTTAATTGTTATAAAAATCTAAAAAATTGTTAGATGCTTGCTAAATTCAATATCATAAAAAATTCATACTAAAATTAGCAGACACGTGACAATTTTTGATTTTTTATTTAAATTAATAATAATTACAATTAAAAAAATATTTTTTAAAAATTGCACTTAGAATTTTTCAAATTTTTTACATGTCAATTTTATTCTTTTAATTTTTTTTCATTAAAAAAATTATAAAAATTTTCCGATGTCAGTTAATTTAATTTTCATAGAAATCCAGGTGTAATGTAACATCGTAATGTATGACGAAACACTAAATTTTTGTATATTTTAAAAATTTAATTATTTAAGCCATTAATCCTTGCGGATAGGGAAATAATCGCTTAAACTTCAGAAAAAGCGGGATTCGCTGCTCTGGGATACTCCGCTCCCGTGAACCAATGAATGTCTTTGTCTTTATATGTGTCATTCATTTTTTTTTTTATTATATTGAATTAATATAGACTAATTAGTTTTTTACATTAAAACAAATCTATTGATTACAAATATTAAAATTAGAATTTTTTTTGTATACTAAATAAAAATAACTTTATAAAATTATATTGATCTCAACCGTGACATTAATGAATAATAGATATTGTTTGTACATGAATTAAAATGTAATTACTATCTTTTGACAGGGTAGATAGAGATCAGGTTTATTTTATTTAAAATTCAATTTATTTTACAATTTGTAATATTGGAATTTAATTATTAAAATTTTAAGTAAATTTTATTTGAAGAAATAATCGCTTCATTTAATTCAATAAAATTTATTCTTTTAAATTAATAATAAATAATTAATTCAATTTAATTTTAATAACCAAGCACTTGATTTTTTTTTAATAAAAATAACTTAAAATTTATAAAATAAAAATTTTCAAGATTTTGAAAAAAGAAAAATAAAACTAGAAAAGTTTTTTATGTTTATTAAAAATTAAAGTCTGTAATATTTATAATCAAAAATTTCTTCAGTAAATTCATACAATAAAATTCCATAAAAAATTTTCAACCATACCGATAGAGTTAAAACCCGATCCAAGAATTAGCGCACTCTGCAGTCACGATTCTCCAGGACCTTTCAATTTAAAAATTTCCCGAATAAAATCTCTGTAAAAAAACAGACCTAGCATCTATGCCCTAGACTAGTACAGTCACAAATTTAAATAAAAAAAAAAAAAAAAAAAATAGAAAATAAATAAACCAAACGTTGAATTGAAAATATTAGCTCTATTCGTAATTGTACAAAAGTAAAACCGGTTGGTAAAAAATTTTTTGAAATTCTCATGCCGTAGAAACATATATAAATAAATAATTAATCTACTGCGCCATAAAAAACAAACTGACGACTCATCACCGGTCCATTATATTACATATCACATATTACATATTCTTCGACCTTGATCGCGGGATTATGACACAGAATTTTTAGAGCTTTAACAAAACCTGACAGCTAATTTTATTACAATAGTTTTTCCTAATTATCTATTGTGATTTTTTTCATGCAATCTCGATCGCTACCCGACAATTATAAGAATGTTGAATAAAAAAATTCTCGCGGGTTTTTCTGTTGCTTAATTTTCGTCCTTGGAAATGTTCCTGGAAGAGAAGCCGCTAAAAAGTCTAATTCGAGATATTTTATTATTTATAACATTTGCAAATAATAATATAAAGAGAGTTGAGGACACTGGACTGAAAATAAATGTCGCAAGTTTATTATATTGCCTAGGGTAATAACTCTTGTAATTTTACTTTCAGTCATCCACATATTACATATTTTTTTTAGATTTACATAAGTGTCTTTTTTTTTTTTTAGAAATTTTTATGACACTGAAATTAAAAAATTTTTTTTTAAATAAATTAAGGATAGAAAAATTTTTTTTTAAATTGCATTTATAATCAAAAAAAAAATTTTTTTTACTACAATTTATTTATTTAAAAAATTCAAAAAATTATCAAATGTCTCAATTTTTTTGTAATTTATAAAAAAAAAATTGATGAAAGGTTAAATTAAATATTTAATAGATTTTATTAACCGTTAATAAAAATTTATTGTCAGTTAAATAAAAAGTGAGTGTAGAAATTATATTTGTCACTTTTTACAACCCAAAACTTAGATAAAAAATTCAAATAGATTTTTTTATAAATAAATATGACAAATAAAATAAATAAATAAAAATTGATAATTTAAAATTACAAAATTTTTTTTTTCTAAAAATATTTATTAAAAAAAAATTAATTAATTTTTTCTAATTGAAATTTATCAGTTAATCATTGAGATAGAATTTTTTACTTAAGCTTATTGTTAAATCTTTTCCTTAAAAATTACATAACAAAAAACAAAGACGCAGTTTGAAACAAAAAATAAAATCTCTGAGCTGATAACTTGAATTTCCGGTAAACATGTAAAAAATAACCATAGCATAAAAAAATGTATTTGTCAGGAAATAATATAAAATCTAAAACACGGCTATAAAAATTTCCATTAAAAATAAAAATAATTACAATGATAATCAGTTAAATATTTACAAAGCGCATTGAACAGTTTAATGACAATTTAGAGGCGACTGGCTGGTATTTATGATGGCCAGAGAGGATATAGGAATAGATGAAAGACTTAATCAACAATTGCACGTTACGGTGATGATGCTCTTGAAGGTTTATGTAACAATATCTAACACGATTGTGTTTAGATGTTTAGTATTACCTGCCGGCTAGCAGCGAACAACCTTAACCCTAAGTTTCCTCGTCACTGATGCCATCTCATTGTTCCAGGCATCGACATGCAATATGTACTTTTTATCTACTTACTTCTATCATATAAAAATATTTTTAATTTTTTATCAATTATTAAATTTTTATAATCTAAAAAATTTTCCAATTAAAAATATAACATTAAAGTTAGCAATCACTTGACCATTTTTTAATTTTATTTAACAAATAAATTTATTCAAAAAAATTATTTTAAAAAATTACATTTTTAATTTTTAAAAATTTTTACATGTTAATTTTTTTTTTTTAAATAATTTATTTGATGCAAAAATTATTTGGAAGAAATTTGTTCCAAAAAATTATTTAAAATAAATTTCATTTTTAATTTTTCAAAATTTCTAAATATCAATTTTTTTTGACATAATTTATTTGTTAAAATAATTATTAAATATCTACTAAATTACTTTTCATTAAAGTTAGCAGTGACTTGACTATTTTTTATTTTTTTTTAACAAAAAAATTATTTTTAAAAAATTGCATTTTTAATTTTTCAAAATATCTACGTCAATTTTTTTTTTTAAATATTTTATTTGATATAAAAATTATTAAAATTATCAAATATCTGCTAAATTAGTTTTTAGATTAAAAATTGATTTTCTTCTTAGTTGTTTTTAATTATCTTCGATTACTTAGTACAGAGGAATTAAATTTAATATTGAAGTGAGTGCGCATCCTAATGATTGACAAGATAAATAAAAATTACACACACGATATTAACTATTAACTAGTAATTTTGTAATTCTTATTGTTTCCTTGAAGATAAATTAAATCATTCGTGTTATTTATTATTACTAATACTAATATCTTATAATTATTTTATTTATATTTTACTATTAAATGTCTATTTAATTTTATAAAATTTATCTGTTTATTCTATAGTTAAAAATTTTATTTTGCAATTTTATTTTAAATATTTGGTTAATTAAAAAAAATTTATGGCTACACAAACTGATAGAAATTAAGTTACCAGTGATAAGTACATCAAGCGTGACGGTTGACAAATTAGATTGAATCTGCGAATAAATTACTAAATTATTAATTTAAACATGTTCGGTATGTATGTATATATATTTATATTTGTATAGTGCGACATACTCGAGCAAGGTTACAAAACTGTTTGCACGAATAATATCTGGCATTATTACAATTACAAGTGTATTATCTACAAATTATTCTTGAGTAGAGTAGGTACACTTTATATGAAGTAACGTATTATAATCGGGTCAAAACCGCAGGTGGAAGTCTGTTTGCTCAGTACAGCTACCGCTGCTAATAACACCGCTCATTTACTTACTACTTCTTCAATTAAACTCAATTACACGTTTCTTTTTTTAATTAATATTTCATACTTTATGACATCTCTCTGTTTCTATTTTTTAATAGCTCTTGTTTTGTCATAAATCATTAAATTAAATGTATCATTAATTTCCAGTATCAATCTACTTAATAAGAAAAAATTACATGTCATTTATAATATCCTTATTTTAGTTTTAATTAATTATTAATAATTTTTTTTTAGTTTATAAATATTTTATTTCTTCTTTCTAAATTATTTAAAAATTTCCAATTTTTTTTTTACTAATTTATAATACCTATAAAATTTAATATTTATAAATTTTTTCAAATCTAATGTCAGATTTTTGACAATTATTTGAAATTGGTAATTGAGAGTTTACAATTGAAATTAATCAAAATTATGAATCACATTTGTTAAAAAAAAAAGAAAAAAAGTTTATACAATGCAAGATCATAAAACTCTACGTTAAATACATGTTATTAATTGTGATACATAACTACATGATTAAGAATTATGACTTATAGAAATTTAACAATTTTTTTTATCAATATTTATCACATAAAATTCACAATATTTTTTTATCAATATTTATCACATAAAATTCACAATAAAAATATGATAATAAATTTAACATTTAAATAATGATTTCTTCTACTTATTAAAAATATATTTGTAAAATTTAATAGTAATAATAATGATAAATTATTATTATTATTATTATTATTAAAAATTTCAAAGTGGAAAAATTAGTTTAATAATAATAATAATAATAATAATTTTAGTCAAAACTAAACTGATCAATATAATTTTTGTCACCAATATCTCATTACTAAGAAAAATAATAATCTAATGAACGTGAGTAATAAAATAAAAACGATATCAAGTTAATTAACAATCGAAACAATAACTGATAATAGTAACACAATTAGCCGATAAATGTGGGCGAGAATATAGACCATAAACCTTGTATAAAAACCATGTACCATATAGTACTAGTAGTTATAAGAAAGATACATACTGTAAAAACTTAAGAACTTAGACTTATAAATAATATAAGCTGAGTTCGATTCGATTCGAAGACCTAGCAGCATAATACACGAATCAAGTACGCACAATACAACATACCACATAAACACGGGAACACTGATATCTCTGGAGAGGGAAAGTAAGATCGAGGGGGGATGCTTGCCGATATATGAAGGCGAAATCGCGGGTCGCGCACTCGATAATCCACCATACCCTCTCGTGCATTCAATCTTATTTTTTTCTTCTCAATAAATAATCTAATTAAAAAAAAAACAAAAACAATAGATAAACAAATTTGGTTTCTTCACCTGAAATAATTGACGAGCGTATATCGTTCATGTTTTAACCCCGTTTTTACATAATACTGAGACTGGTATTTTGGTGACACTAAGTAGAGGATTTATTTAGATAAAAAAATGAGCAAGACGTGGAAAGGTATGTAAATTTATCACCGCAAAATTAAATATTTCTAAATTAGATAATTTTCTACAGTTTTAATTTTTTCACCGGTGAATTTTAAAGTTTAATTGACAGTAAATAGTTAGTATCCAATAGTTGATAAAAAGTAGATCATGTCAATGACACAGGTGTAATAAACGAAATTAATTAGTCGTTTTTGATGAAATTGCAATTAGGAATAAATCGATCGGCATGACAATAAAACCGTTTTTACTTGATCTAAACGGCTTAAAGAATTTTTATTTTAGCTGGCAAACCGCAATCCGACTGACTACTGACATATATTTATTCACCTAGTCTTATAATTCCACGTTAGTTGCTCCTTCATGTCCATATTTCGTTCTCTCCACTAATTATAATACCCACCGGTGAGATAAGGTCAACCAGATCAAATTTGCCATCGCGTAAGATGTAACGATCATGATGTTTAATCAAGTGTATGTAAGTCTAATTTGATTATTTCATTAGACGGGAGGCATAACTATCTGCAATATTGAATTTTTAATTAATATTTAATATATAAATATTAAAATTGATAGCGTTTATTATTTTTATAATTTACTTACTTTTATTCATTTTTTTTTTTTTAATTTAAAATTTTGAATTAAAAATTTTTTAATTAAAATATTTTTTTAGGTGCGAAAGATTTTCTAGGCTTGGAAGAAGTCTCTAAAATCGAATTCCTGGTCCCGTTGTTCAGCGAAACTTTGGGAACATTTTTATTGGTCCTTATTGGGTGCGCATCCTGCCTCACATGGGATGAATCCCATCCGCCGACTGTGATCCACATCGCGTTTACTTTTGGTCTCGCTGTTGCTGCGCTAGCTCAGGTGAGATTTTTTCTGAACAAATATAAATATGTTAATATGATATAATAATATAATACAATACAATATAAATAAGTTAATAAAATATACCGTCTTACTTCCTCTATTTTTGGCCGCGCGCTGAATACAAATTTTTTAATATACTTGCTGGGGTTTTAGCGATTAATTTGCATTCAGATCATGCGGCCTTGCAACGTTAGATACTAAATATTTCTCGGTAAAGATTGCTAACTATTTCAGTAAATAAAAAAAATTTTACGTGATGTTTACTTTATATAAAGTCTAGTAATTGCATTGTTGTTGTTCAAGAAGAACATTTTTTGGATAATCTTGATCTAGAAAAATTAATAAATAATTTTTTTTTAATTCAAAATTTTTGATTTAACTAATTAAAAAAAAAATTTAATAATTAAAATACTGACTGATAAAAAATTTCAAGAACAATAAATGCAAATTTTTCAGTTTTTTTATCTGGAAAAAAAAAAAAATTTAAACAATTATTATTAAAAAAAAAATATCTAAATAAATTATATATATTTATACTTACACGCTAGAAAGAAGATGAGTTCCTTGAGATAATCGACGTTGACCTCACGGTTAAATAGAGAGAGCTTGATTCCATTCACTAAAAAATTTAATTCACAAAATAATATTTAATAACGATCTGTTGTAAATTACAAGTTAAGATAATAATTTATTTAACTTTAATTTATATTTTATTTTAATTCAATAATATATAGTATATAATTATTTAATAAAACTAAAGGTAAAAAACAATTTAATATAACTTAGCAGTGATTTATTATTTAGATATATATCTTCTGTTAATGACTTTGAAACTAGCAAATTGTCGATTGAATAAGTTTAAATATAATTGCATGTGATTGAATAATAGCGATTAGGAGTATTAATATTATTATTTATAAGATAGAGAGATAATAATAAGAAGGAAGGAATATCGAGAGGAAAGAGTCCTTTTAAATTAGCGGCATGCCGGTATACAGATCTTAAGCGACCTCGGCCCCGAAACAATTTATTACCGTGAGGAGCGAATGTGCATTACATGTAACATGTAAGACACGGAGTTTCGGTGTGCAAAATGACTCGCGATCAATCGCGGGTATGCAGACGCCTTCGTGTCAACAAATTTGTTCCAATGACAATGTACACTTAGATGATAAGGTCGGGATAATTAAGCGTAACTGTCGTTACTTTTTAAATGATTGTTATTTACATTTAAGTCTCAATACTAATTATTATTATTATTATTATTACTTTTTATTTTATTTAACAGTATTTTTTTAAATAATTAATAATAATAATAATCATCATCATCATCATCATCATCATCATCATCATCATCATCATCATCATATAATATTTTTAGTATATATAAATATAAATAAAAGTATGAGTATAAGTATGGAAAAAAAGTATGATACACATTGCAAACACATAAAAATTTAATATTATTATTATTATTAATTTGAAAATTAAAATTATCAATTTGAAAATTAAAATTATTAATTTGAAAATTAAAATTATTAATTTGAAAATTAAAATTATTTTAATTTATCGGGTTTTTTTTTTCGCAGATAATTTGTTATAAAAACCGAGATTTAACCTTTTGGTAAATGAAGAGTAAAGAGAAAGCATCAACTATTCCATCATTGCAAATATATTACGCATAGCTTTACATAATCAAACAATCATATCAATCACATCTAAATTGATGATCGTTAGAAAAAATTTTTTTTCAATAAAATCAATTTAAAATAATTATCTTAGAGCCCCTCGAAAATTCTAACAAAAAGAAATAAAATTTCTTTTAATTATTTTATTTTCATACTTGAAAAAAAAAAAAAGTATTAATGGCCATTTGAATTGACAAATCTCAGCAAGACCACATAGACTGTGATTACGTAATGACCCTAAATAACCGTGGGCGTTTAGTTACATATTTATACTCGAGAGTGCCATTGTTTCTTACCAAACAATTCTTCATTTATATTATCCTCGTATTAAATAATAAATGTATTATATATTATATATAAATATATACTAATGTATTCATGCATAATACATCATACATAATAAATACTCAATAAAAATCACACGACGAACTGCTTGGGGCAGAGGAGTCAGCATAGGATATCCGTCGAGAAGACAAACGAATTAGATTACCGTATCACAAGCCAAGAAAATACTTACAAAATGTGTGATGTATGATGTATGATATATAATATATGATATATATAACACATAATAGTATAACATAGACCAGAGAAGGGTAAATAAGGCCGCGGATTCGCCTAAGGGGGTCTAACTGTCGGATGGTGCAATTTGCCCCGAAGGCTCTGACAACCTACTACATCCACTCATTCTCCTCTTTCCGACTTGTTAAACTCCTTTGCCTGATCATGCCGACGTCCAAGTGCTCTGCATCCGTACACTTGCCTTTCCCTCTTCTCTGAGAAGTCAGGAGCCGAATTTTTTCCCGCAGCATTAAAACTCCTTCGTGACTCATCAAGTCCCCGCGCTAAAAAGTAAACAAACTTATTATTCACATTACATTTTATTCATTCAAATAAAATAATAACTTACTTATTTAAAAACACACAAATTACGGATATTTAAACACAATAAGCCAATTAATTTATTATACTCGATTTAGATTTTTAAAAATCCTGTTTCATTAGTTTTTTACGCAAGAGATGTAATTTATTGCGATTAAATCGACATTGGTTTGCTTGATCGAGTATTTATATATAAATTAATACGCTGTACTTACAGTATATACTTACAAGTGTAAGGTGGAATCGCGTGCCGGTTAAATGCCTCAAGCACTCGTACTTCGAACACTTCTCCTAAAATAAAATTATTATTATAAAGTAAGAGGAGTGTCAATTTAAATTTAAGATACTTTAATACCTACTTTTGTCCAAACGTTCCTTTTCGTTAACACTTGACCTTTTTAAATTATAATTATTTTCAAATTCCCGCCTTTTTTATTTTCAAATCTCTTTTTGCGCTGCTAGATTGAAAAATGGCGTCCGAAGATAAACTCCTCCAGTTTTAATATAATTTTCTCTCTTATAAATAAACTACTCGGATTTAAATGACAAATTTTTGTAGGATTGTTTGTTCAATTCCTTTTAAATTAATAAAAAAGTAATTTAGCTAATTAATAAAGTCTATTGAGAGATATCGCAAGTCTAAATTACGAAGTGAGTGACTGTAATTTTTTTTACAGCTTGTATTTTCAAATTCCCGCCTTTTATATATTCAAATCTCTTTTTGCGCTGCTAGATTGAAAAATGGCGTCCAAAGATAAACTCCTCCAGTTTTAATATAATTTTCTCTATTATAAATAAACTACCCGAATTTAAATGACAAATTTTTGTAGGATTGTTTGTTCAACTCCTCTTAAATTAATAAAAAAATAATTCAGTTAATTAATAAAGTCCATTGAGAGATATTGCAAGTCTAAATTACGAAGTGAGTGACTGTAATTTTTTTTACAACTTGTATTGAAAAAGAAGAAAGAATAACTTGTTAATATTTGTCAATAGGGCTCACCTGGTTGTTTTAAATGTGTAATAGACATTCTTTGGGTTAATGCAAATATAATGAAGCTAATTGTCTTGAGTTAATGAAAGAAACAGAAATATTATCCTAAACAATGATAGTGATCAAGCTGAATGCATCTTAATTAACGAAACAATTTATTACGAGCACACAAAGAACAAACTAATCAATCAGAAAAAAATGAAGACATCAAGATTATTATTATTTAAAGACGTTTTATGAATAAACAATCACTGTAATCTGTGGTGAAGATTAACAGTGCATAATGAATGAAAATAAATAATTAAAAGTCAGTTAAGGTGTCCTCGACCGCGAAATACCAATCAGCAAAGTAAACCGACGGTGGGCGATGCCTGAAGCTAAAGCCAAGCTATGTTCAACAAAGTCTTAATTTAAAGAATATTAACACCTCAAACGATAAATTTCTTCAGTGATTAGTTGCCGTGATATATTACTTTTTAATCTTTAGTTTTTCCATTTAATACCATTAATTATTTTAGCAATAAATTCCCCGTGATATTAATCCTCTAGTGTTATGTAAATATCAATAAATAATACTTTTATGAATTAATAATTATTAAAAGGGTAATTGATAAATTTATATGTATATATATTAGATAAGATTCCCTCAATGGTATTATAAAATATATATAACCATGTAAAAGTACTTTAGTACGCGAATATTATGTCTGGGGGCTGTAGGTCACCGTAACCTCAGGGCACTAAAATTGCCAACTAATTCTTTCAGATACTTTTATATTATAATATTATAATTTTAACTTTTAATATTGATTTTTAATCTGCAAAAATTGTAATTAAATTAACAGAGAAAATTTTAACGCGCTTATTGAAATTTTTTTATAAATAGGATTTGCAAGTAACACCTGAATTAATTATTTTTCTTGAATTAAGATTATTATTGAATTTGATAATTATTATTATTATTATTATTATTATTATTGGTAATTGTTGTTTGAAGCTATTAAAAGTGAATATTAAAGCAAACGTCTAACGAACAATTAATTATAGAAATAAAAAAAGGATACGAGGTAAAAATAATCAGAAATAAAAAATAACAAAATAAGCTGAAAAAAAATAAATCGAATGAAGAAAATTACGCAATAGGTAACATGTTAGCGCATATGTGCTCAAAGAATAGCCCGGGGCTGCTGAAGACCTTGCTGTCGTGTATGAGAACTGGGTTGCCGGGTCCGAGCATATGAGGGGCCATCGGGCCCCAAGTGCTATATCTGTTTCTGTTTCTGCAAATAGAAGTTTCAACGATTAATTTAGAGACTAGTTGCTAGTTACTCTGATAAATTTTATTTATTCATTCGTTAATCCTACCCAAAAGATAAATACACTTTTTTAATAGTTACTCAGTTGGTGTCACTTTCAGGCAATTACTTCTTCAAGTTAGAAAAGTTATTAGACTGTCAATATATATAGTTATATTTTGAGATTTGCATAATAATAATTTAGGTGAATTTTCTTTTTTTTTTTCATCACTTGTCTTCTTTTTCTGTAAAAAAAAATTTTTATATTATTTTTTAGCTTCAAATTATTATTGTAAAATTTTTTAAAATGACTTACCGGTGATCTAGTGGAAGAATTCTTGTTGAGAAGAAAAGTTTAAGGTTAACTTTTTTAATAATTATTCATATAAAATTTTTTATTTTATTTGAAAAATAAATTGGTGCAAAAAAATATTTTATAGTTTTTTGTTTCACTTTTAGAATCATGAATTATTATTATTTATATTTTTATAAAAATAATTATTTAAAAAAATTGATCCATGGAAAAACAAAAAGACACTGAAGTTAACTGACATTAAAAATTTTTTTATAATTTTATAACAATGAAATTATTATTATTATTAAAAAAATTGAATAAAAAAATTCTACATGTGAAAATTAAAAAAAAATATTAGTGAAAATTTTTTGAAGAATTTTTTTTACTTTAATTGATCTGTTAGAAAATTAAAAAAATTGACAGCTGATAAGTTATCTAACTTCAGAAACAATAAAAAAGAGACTGAAATTAACTGACATTAATTTAAAAATTTTTTTATAATTTTATAACAATGAAATTATTATTAAAAAAAATTTAATAAAACAATTCTACATGTGAAAATTAAAAAAAATATTAGTGGAAATTTTTTAATGCTTTCTTTCTAATTGTAATTATTTTATTATATAAATTGAAAATGAAAATTAAGTTAGCCGACATCTAAAAATTTTTTTAAATTTCATTTGTAAAAAACATGAAAAACTTTAATGTCATTAAAGTTAGCAGTCACTCGATCATTTTTTAATTTTATTTAACAAAAAAATTTTTCTCGAAAAATTATTTATAAAAAATTGCATTTTTAATTTTTTAGAATTTCTACATGTCAATTTTTTTTTCTACTTTTTTTGCCATCATTTATTTGTTAAAAAAATTCTCAAAATTATTAAATATCTGCTAAATTACTTTTCATAAAACTTAGTGTAATTTTAAAAAAAATTTTTTTGTTCCAATTTAATAAATAAAAAAAAAAAATCTTAAAACTAAAAATGTCGGCTAACTTTAGAATTATAGATTAAAAATATTGACAGCTGTCAGCTGACTTCAGTATCATAAAAAAAAAAAAAACAAGAGTAATTCTTTTATCATCAAAATAATTTTTAAAATACTCACATTAATTATTTCAATAAAAATAAAACTAATTAAAATATTTAATTTTCAGGTACTTGGACCAGTATCTGGGTGTCACGTTAACCCTGCGGTGACGGCAGGTCTTGTCGTCAGTGGAAACTGTTCATTATTAAGAGCAATTTGCTACATTGTTTGTCAATGTTGTGGTGCAATAGCTGGAGCAGCTGTTCTGAAAGTGAGTTGATTATTATAACTAATTTATATAGTTGCAATAAAAATTTAATTGTCCAATAATGTGCAGGTCGTAATACCTGGACCCACGACATCTCGTGGAATAGGAGCGACGACCCTGAGTGATGGAGTGGACAGTGGTCAGGGTATTCTGATGGAAGCGATAGTAACGTTTCTCCTGGTGCTGGTGGTCCATGCAACGACTGACTCGAAGCGTCGGGACACGACCGGCTGGGCTCCGCTGGCGATCGGATTGACAATAACGGTGGCCCATCTGGCAGCTGTTCCACTCACTGGAAGCAGCATGAACCCCGCGAGGTCTTTCGGCCCAGCGGTGATCCTCGGCTCCTGGACTGACCAGTGGATTTACTGGGTTGGACCCGTCGTTGGCGGGATTGTCGCTGGTGGACTCTACAAGTTGGGACTCAGGGCCAAGAATAAAGATGACGATGAAGCTTCTTATGACTTTTGAAATGATTTACGCTTACTATCTCTAGGGCATTCATTTTTTTTTTTGGCAATTATGATTAAGTAGCTTCAATTTTTTATTATCTAATTTAATTTAATAAAATATTTTATTAAATTAAAAAATTAAATTAAATTTTTCACTTTTTTTCTTTTTTAATTAAAAATCAATTTTTTAATTAAAAATAAATTAATAATAATTATTATTATTTTAAATTAATAAAATAGATAATATTTTCTTAATTTAAAAAATAAAACAAAATTTTTCACATTTTTTTTAATTAAAAAAATTTTTCCCATAAAAAAAAATATTTAAAAATAATTGAAGCTATATAATTGATTTTTAATAAATATTTTCATATTTTTTAAAAAATCACTCATTATTTCTATAAAAAAAAAAAAATCTCATTGACATTTAATTATAAATTAACTAATACGTAGATTTTTTTTAATTACAAACATAATTGTTAAGACTTGTATATATTATACTTAAGATTAAAAACTGAAAATAAATGTTATATGATTACTTTCTTCATAATAAAATAATAATAATAATAATAATAATAATAATATTTACCTAATTGAGCAACACATAATACTAAATAAAAGGACAGAGTTATTTTTGGCCCGATCAAAATAGCTAGACCAAAATAACTTAGAAAGCGCAGAGCACAGTAAGAAGAAAACTCAGTTGAGCTCCGGCTTCCGTGTCGAAAAATTACTAGCAATGTTCGACAGTGACGAAATAGAGATAAAAAGTTACTTTAAATCGAATTTGCTGGCATGTCGGCAAGCGATTGATGACGATTTCAAAAAATTCGCTACTCTCGATACAAATGGCCAGCGCGTTTCTTTGCTGCTTAGTTATCCAGAGGCGCATGAACTGTCTCTGGAAGTCGAGAATTGCCCGGTGAAAGATCTTCAGAGTGCTTTGAAGCTCAAGGAATCCGGGAATAAATATTTTGGGCATGGAAATTTTTTTAAGGCTCTTGAGACTTATTCAAGCGCTATTTTGATTACTCCTAAAAAAGGTTTGTATTTATGTAATTATTTTTCAATAAACATTAAGTTTATTTATTTATTTATTTAATTTAATCGGACCTAGAACAAGTGCTCTCTAAACATCGTAAAATTACATTTATAGTGACAAAGGTAATTAATATGACAAAGATAAAAAGATAAAGTTAATTAACATGAATTCTATTTTGTTGAAATTAAAGTGTATTAATATGAATTAGTTAGATTAGGGCAAGATATTGAATCTAAGCATTATCGGTCATAAAGTATTTATTTAATACAAATAAAATTCATTTTAATTTTATTTAATGACTCTTTTTGTGTAATTGGCTTACGTACGTTCAGAACATTGAAAAAAATTAATCAAAAAAAAATTTATTTAACCGTCCGGTCAATCACCAGATACCCGGGTATCCATTTCAGCTTCGCAGATAGAATTTATTAACTTTTTCTTTAAAAAATTGTATAACCGCCTGGATCCCCGAAATTTAAGGGAGAACACCATTGTGACGGTCGAAAAAAAAAAGGTGATTTTCAAGAATTTTTTTGACAGGGAAAATAAAGGAATTCGGGGATCGGGTTTTTTTTTTATTTTAATAAAGGTACATTAACGATTATTACCCTAAATTTTTATTAAAAATATTTAATTATTACAAAGTTATTAACAATCTCATAGAGCAATAGAAAAAATTTCCCTCTCCATGGTCGCATTAATTAACGATAAACAATATCGTTTATAATTTTTTTTATTTAAATAATTTTTACTATAAACAATAGCAAAGATAGTATTTAAAAAAATAATTCCGTTTTTTGAATTCACTTTGAAGACAAGTATGACATACTGCAGTAATCTTTTTCCTTCCGGTTGAATCGAGCTGTTTGGGGTCTTGATGATCCAGGTGTTGGTTGCGCACATAGATTGATAGCTCGGTCAACAAAAGATTCATTCAATCTCATATTGGGGTAGCTTTATCTCTCATACGATCTTGGATCAAAAAGTATAATATAAAGATTTTGAGAATACCCATCAGCCAGCTGATGAAGCTGATTTGATCTTCACTTGATGGTGTCGCAGCCCACTGCGTGCCATTTTTTGCTCTCATTCCTAACCCCTTCGCTGCTACATCATTTTTTTCATCATCTTCATTGAGTGCAATTTCATCAGCTATTCCGAAAAATAAAGATAATTTATAAAACACAATACATTATAATTATTGACGTACATAATAAAAAATAGAAATTTTAATTACCTGTATCATAACAATCTGAAGCTGCAGTCTCATGTGATAGAAAATATTCGTTGTCGTCACTGTCCGACACGTGGTTATCCTCAGATATTTCAGCTTCGATTGTTTTCTCGAGATGCATTTTTTCCTGAGAGTGAGTGATTCTATTGAAAAAAGTTTTTACTTTATTATTTACTATTTTTTTAAATATTCAAAATATAAAATAATTTATACTCCAAAATAAAACAAGTAAATTTCTTCTTACCGTTGAAAACTCGATGAATTATCCATCGTATTTATATTCAATACGATTATTTATTAATAATTGTATTAATTAATTTTGTATATTTTTTTCACTTTCACTGTTAATTTTACACGTGTTTAGCAGTAAGTTAAGGGAGTACCGATAGCCAACATCTGTATACTACGCTTCTAAAATTAAGACTGATCCCTTTTCTTCATCAATTAGTCACGTAGCTAGCTTACTAATAACTTTTCTACCTGAGACATTATATGGGTTATATTAAACGAATGATGAAAGTTTGGTGATTGGCCGGACAGTTAATAAAGAAAAATTACTCGAGTTTAATAATTACATTTTTCATTAAGAAAAATTTATTTTTGGTAGAATAATAAAGTTTTAATGAGAAGATATTATTTAATTTATTATTTTTTTTTTTTTATTTAATACCTAGTAATTTAATTTTAATTAGGCACTTAAATATTTAAATAAAAGCTGATATTAAATTTTGAAAAGATACATTTGAAAAAAATGGCTTTTAAAATTATTTTGCTTCAGCCCGAGAAGGCTTTACAAAAATAAGTATAACTTTTAAGAGGGTATTCTAGTCTAGAAGCATGAATATCAGGTAATTTTTTGAAGTCCCGTAAAAAAAAGGCAATCAATATTTTTACTATTCATTTTTTATAAGTTATTTATTAACATTACAAGAATACAGAAAACAATAAAAAAAGTTGAAAATTCCAAAAATTAGCGGCTGATGAAATGGGAGGGGGGGGGGGAATTCCAACCCTCCTAGTAATCTGAAATAAAAAAACAAAAAAGGTTAATAATCTAAAGTAATGTCGCTATAGTTAGAACTAGAGAAAAGTTTAAAAAAAAATTTTTCACGTGGCAACTGCCTGAAAAAAAAAAATATTTTTTTTACTCCTTTTTTTAACTTTTTCCAATTTTTTAAAAATAGTAAAAAATTGAAATTTGGGATGAACGTAAGTTCCTATCATAGCGATATTACTCTAGATTAATAATTTTTTTAATTTCAGATTACTAGGAGAGTTGGAATCATGAGCATGGTCAGGTGCCAATTTTTTGAGACCCCCCCCCCTCCACTTCATCCAACGTGTCAATTTTTTGAGACCTCCCCCACTTCATCAGCTGCTAATTTTTTGAATTTTCAAATTTTTTTATTTTTTTCTGTATTCTTATAATGTTAATAAATAACTTATAAAAAATGTATGGTAAAAATATTGATTGCCTTTTTTTTACGGCACTTCAAAAAATTACCTGAAATTCATGCCTCTAGACTAGAATACCCCCTTAAAATACTAATTAAATATCGCGTTACTAATGCCAAAAGAACGCATCTCAACATCTACGCCCTTCTGGCTCTGCAGAGCCAAAAGGGCGCATAAAAAAAAATTTTTTTACTCCAACTAACCTAAAAATGTTTATAACTTTTAATTCTGTAAGAAAAGTGAATAAAAAATTTTTTTTTGTTAACGCCCTTTTGGCTTTAAGACAAAAAAATTCTAAAGCCAACAGGGTGCATCATTTTTTTTTAATCATAATTAATTATTAGCTTTAAAAAAAAAAGAAAAGTTATGACACCTATGAAGTGTGAAGAACTCATTATAGTTATCACAATAATGACTTTTCAACTCATTTTATATAAAAAGAATATGGATTTGAATTAAAGAAAAACAAAATAACAGTAACATTATATTTTTCAAAGTTTAGTTTTACAAGCAATATATATTTATGATTTTTTACTTTCAGAAGCAAAAGATAATGATAATGAAGATGGCATCGGAGTAGTGCCTAGCTAAATTGATATTTTAGTTTCTTCTATAATCAAATACATATTATTTTCAAATAAAATGAGTAGAAGAGTCATTATTCTTACCAGTGTTATAATTTTTTTTAAGGCTAATAATTAATTATGATTAAAAAAAAAAATTATACGCCCTTTTATGGCTTTAAAACTTTTTTGTCTTAGAGCCAAAAGGGCGTATACAAAAAAATTATTTAAAATCAAAACTCAAATTTTAATTAATTACCTTATAACTTCCAGAGCTAGGAATATTCCTAGCAAACCGTTCAGCAGCCCTGTATAACCTTACCCTCTTCGAAGAAGCTCTGAGCGACGCGAACGAAGCCTTCAAAATCGGGTACCCCAAAGAACTGGCCTATAAGCTTGAAGAACGGCGCGCCAGATGTCACTTGGCGCTGAAGAACAACTCAGAGGCAATTTCTTCTTTCCAAAAGACATTGGCATGCTTGGACGACACCAAACTTCCCCTGGAGAAGAAGCAGAAGCTGGAGATGGACGTCAGAATGATGCTAGCGGTGATGGAAAAGGGAAAAGAGTTGAACAAGTCAAAGGACACTAAATCGACCGCTCAAAATGGTTCAGCAAAATTAAAACAATCAGCGTTATGCGCTAAGCTCCAAGTTCCCAAGATAGCGGACTGCAATCCGCTGTATCCAAACTGCAGCTCTTCCATGGAGATCCGCGAGTCTCAAGATTTGGGAAGATATGGCGTTGCGACTCGCGACATTGAACCAGGAGAACTTTTGATGGTCGAGAAGCCAAACAATGCCGTTCTTCTCACGGAATACAGACTGACCAATTGTCACTACTGCTTCACGAAGAATATCGCTCCGTACCCTGCTGCTTGTGACACGTGCGCTGCTGTTGCTTACTGCAGCACAAAATGCAGAGACGCTGACAGCAAGGTTCATTTAAATGAGTGCAGTGTCCTGGTGCCACTCTGGCTGTCAGAAGCTTCGGTCACCTGCCTGATGGCCATTAAAGCCATCATCCAGAAGCCCTGGTCCAAGTTGAAAGCTCTGAAAGAAGAGTTTTACAAGTCGAAGGCTGGGTTTAAACCTTCTGCTGATCATCCTTTTAAGGGAACTGATTATGTCTGCTTTTGGTCACTTGGTAAGACTTTTTTTTTAATTATGAAAATTAATTTAGCAGATATTTGATAATTATAAGAATTTTTTTAACAAATAAATTATGGCAAAAAAAAAAAAGGAGAAAAAAAATTAAAGTAGAAATTTAAATAAATAAAAAATACAATTTTTTAAGAATAATTTTTCGGAAAAAATCTATTTGTTAAAAATAATTAAAAAATTATTTTGACTGCTAACTTTAATAATGACACTGAAGTTGACAATTAAAAATTTTTTTAGAATTTTATGGCAATTAAATTATTATAAAAATAAATTTAATTAAAAAATTCCACGTGTGAAAATTAATAAAAATTACAAGTGAAAATTTTTAGAAGCATTTTTTTATTATAATTGATTTGTTATAAAAATTTTTTAAATTGACAGCTGAGAGCTAACTTGAGTAATGAAAATTAAGTTAGCCGACATCTAAAAATTTTTATAATTTTTTTTATTGAAAAAATTATTAAAAAAATAAGAAAAAAAAAATTCCATTTGTAAAGAACTTGAAAAAATTTTTAAAAAATATTTTTTTTTTCCAATTTAATGAACGAAAAAATTAGAAACGTCGGCTAACTTTAGTATTATTTTTCAGTATCATCTTTAATGTCATTTTTATATTAAAAATTGAAATTTAATTTTTCAGTGACTCACGAAAGCGAAAGAACTATCGACGACTTGTTCCACCGCGCTTACATGGCAGCTTGGTTGCTCCGAGTCCTGAAGACCAGTCGCTATCTTCCGGAGAGTATTAAGACAGCACCCCAAGAACCGCTTTCTGAAGACGAGCTCTACGTTGCTGATTTACTCTGTCATCACTTGCAGCTTTTGCAGTTTAATACTCACGAAATTTCGGAGATTATCAAACCGAGGGGGGAGACAAATCTCGCGAAATGCAAAAACAATTTTATTGGAGGCGGATTGTTTCCTACACCTGCTTTGTTGAATCATTCTTGTAATCCAGGAATTATTCGGTGATTATTTTTGTTTTTTATTAAGTAATTATGCGCTTTTATATTTATATTAAATTATGCTGAATTTTTATGAAAATGAAGTTAGCTGACATTTCAAAATTTTTAGAAATTTTTTATTGAAAAAATTTCAATTAAACAATTAAAAAAAAAATTCACATGTAAAAAACTTGAAAAACTACAAGTGCAATTTTTTATAAATATCTTTTTAGTTGTAATTTAATTAAAAAAAAAAAAAAATCAAAAATTTTTAGACGTTTGCTAACTTCAGTGTCATGAATTTTTAACTGACATTTGATGATTTCTAGGAATTTTTAAATAATTAATCATTCAAAAATTCATTTTTTCAGCATTTTTAGTACGTATAACCTCAAAACTAATTATAATCTTCTTTCAGTTATTTCGTCGGCACAACAATGATTGTCCGCGCCATCCGGACAATAAAAAAAGGCGCTGAAGTCTGCGACAATTACGGACCTAACTTCGCGACAACTGTCGAGTCGGACCGTAAACGTAAATTGCGGCTGGATTATTGGTTTGAGTGCAATTGCGAAGCGTGCAGTCAACATTGGCCGCTTCTCAGTGACATAAATCCCAAAATCTTGAGGTATGAAAAAAACAATAATATTTATTTATTTATTTATTTATTAACATACGCCTATCGGCAATATACATAAAGAAATTATTTAAAATTAAATAACATAAATTAAAGAAATTAAATTATGATTTAAATTGAAGCAAAGAACGAGAAAAAGAAAACTTTGTGTAGTTTATGTGTACATAAGCAACTGTCTTTTAATGTTTGACATAAAAGCACTGAAGGTACCACCGTAAAATTCTGTCATGAGGTCCATTCACCACATAGCTTTTCGAAGACTTAGTATAGTTTTCAGTAACCTTTTGCGCCTCAACATTATGTTGGCAGGCGCAAATTCGAAGCTGCTGCAGATGTCCGGGGCGTCAATGATTCCATTGACCACTTTGTAAAAAAAAGCCATGTCGGCGACCTGACGACGATTAGTCAAATTGTTTAATTTGAAGTGCTTGCGAAGATCATCTGAAGTTGAGGCATTAGCTCGCGACCAGCATGTATTCGAGAGATATTTACATAGCTTGTCTTGAATTCTCTCAAGCTGCTTGGTTAAGATATCAGTGTAGGGTGACCAGATGACCAAGCAGTATTCCAAAATCGGCAGAACTAGGGCAAGGTATAGGTTAACCGTAGTATGCGGGTAGTTGAAATCTCTACATGTTCTTGTGACAAGGCCTAGGATTTTGAGAGCTTGGAGTGTGATTTTGTCTACATGTTTGGTGAACATAAGCTTGTTGTCAATTAAGACACCAAGGTCTTTGATGCAGTCTACTTGTTTAATCTTGACGCCATTCAGGAGATAGCTGGTGGGCACTTGGGTATGAGCACGTGTGAAGGCTATCACTGCACATTTTTTGACATTCAAGTCAAGTCTGTTGTTTGTGCACCATGTAGCTAGCGTGTTGATGTCATGCTGTAGGATCTCGCAATCTAGTTCGCTCGCTATAGTTCTGTAGATTTTCAGGTCATCTGCATACAGTATAAACTCTGAATCAAACTCTTTCCCAATGTCGTTGACGAAAATATTGAAGAGTATAGGGCCTAAGTGCGACCCCTGAGGAACACCTGAAGTGACCATGTATTCGTCAGATAAGTTACCATCAACCCTGACTTGCAGACGTCTGCCTGTTAGGTAAGACCAGAGCCAGCTGAGTGCGTGTCCATGTACACCGTAGTTTTTCAACTTCCTTAGTAAAATCTCATGATCTACCCTGTCAAAAGCCTTGCTGAAGTCGGTGTAGATAGCATGAGTCTTGTGACCGCTGTTCATAGCATTAAGTATGTAGTTGACGTAGGTGTACAGGTTGGTTGTCGTCGATCTGACCAGTTGAGGTAAGACCACCTTCTCCATTAGCTTAGCATAATATAATTTTATTAAAAAAAATTCATTAATAATCCACGGTACTGGTTAGCTGATAACTGTCAAATTTTTATAATAAAAATTAAGTTAGCTGACATTTAAAAATTGTGAGAATTTTTTCAATTTAAAAAATTATTACAAAATAATAAAAAAAAATTTCATATGTAAAAATATTGAAAAACTATGAGTGCAATTTTTAAAAAATATTTTTTAGTTATAATTTAATGAATAAAAAAAAATTAAAAACGTCGGCTAACTTTAGTATTATATTTTTATAACAAATCAATTGCAACAAAAAAACGTTTTAAAAAATTTCCACTATTAATTTTTTTTAATTATGGAAATTACTGTAGCATATATTTAATAATTTTTTTACAAATAAGTTATGGCAAAAAAAATTGACATGTAAAAATTTTTAAATATAATAAATGCAATTTTTTAAAAATAATTTTTTGGAATAAATTTTTTTGTTTAACAAAATTAAAAAATTATGACATTAAAGTTAGCTGTCACTTGATAATTTTTTTATTTCTTTTAATAAATAAATTTGTTAAAAAAATTCTAAAAATGATTAAATATCTGCTAAATTGATTCTCATTAAAAAATTGTCAAGTAACTGCTAACTTTAATGTAATTTTTTAATTTTTACATGTGGAATTTTTTTATTAAATTTTTTTCATAATAATTGTAAAATAAAAAAAAAATTTCTCATGTCTGTCAACTTCAATGTCATAACTCATAATAATCAAACTTTTGAATAAATTTAAATTCTTCAGGTTCAAATGCGAAACTGGAGTAACTTGTGGCAACGTTCTGCAAGTAAACGTCGACTCAAACGAATTCATGTGCCTCTGCAGCAAATGTGGTAAAAGCACCAACATTATGAAAGGCCTGAAAGCTCTTCAGGACACTGACGCGCTGTTTAAAGTTGCTTCGAGACATCTAGAAGATGGTGAAAATTCCGAAGCGCTGGACACGTATTTGAAAATACTTAAAATTTTCGACGAGACTCTCGAGCATCCCATCAAAGATTATTATCTCTGTCAACAAGGTGTCAAACTCACTATGCTTCCTCTCGGCAACACAGCTGTAATATAAAATTTTACAACGAATGACATTTAAGTAACTACAATAAATTTACTAATTTAAATAAAATAACTACAATTAATTTTATATTTATTATTTTTATTTAACTGTAGATTCGTAAACGTATAAAATAATCAATTAAGCAGTCATTATTGATAATCTTTACATAACTTCGCAAAGTAGCTTTTTTAATTAAACAATTGTCAGTATTGATATTATCAATTGTTGGGTGAGTTTTTAAATTGTTTTTTTTTTTTTTTATTTTTTTTCACACAAATACACTTTTAAATAACTAAAATAAAATTATTGTTTTCAATTATTTTAATCCATAAACTGCGTCGGTGATTGATGACAATAGACAATTTTATAAATAGTAAAATTGTCATAATTATGCAAAATTATCCACGATAAATTTCGTGAGTTTTTACGTCGTAAAGCTGATCTAGTTATTGAAATCTTATTTATTTTAAATGTGAAAGTTTATATACAAATAAAGGTAGTTTTATAATAATAATAATAATTATTATTATTATTATTATTATTAGTTGATTTGTGAGGATTTTTGTATTTTGTTCGCTTCTTCTTGACTTTAGCTGCAACATAAAAGGATAATAATTAATAATTGAGAATAGCGATTAATTGAGCAGATAAGAAGAAATAAATGAATTACCGCCGGGAATCAGATCTGGAACGACGATCTCGGCTGCGACTGCGAGTGAGCGATCTCCTACGTGGACTGCGCGACCTGGATCTAAAATAGAGGAACAGTAAATTAGAACAATTATTGTCGTATAAATAATAAAACAAATATCTAACATGTTAAAGTGCTCGAAGATTTTTTGCCAAGTAATTTCAATGTTGTACAGCAAAATAATATTCGAGTTTTAATTAATGCTTTTATTTTTCCTAGGGATTAAAATGTTATCACAATTATTTTAATTGATTTTTATTGATCAATTAAGTGTTATTTTTTAATAAATTTAATTTTAATGAAAATTTATTAATTTTTAAATTAAACGAATGTGAATATGAATGTTATTGTACTATGAAGAAACACGACTTCTCAGGGTAAATTATAAATTATTAATTTTGATATATATTTTTCATATATAATATATATAAATATGTAAAATATATGAAAAATTGATGTGGGTACTCAAATGAAAGGTCTTCACTTGATAAGTGAAACATCAAGATGAGCTTATATTTTTAAAAATGTCAATAATTAAGAAATGACCTTGTATCTTGTGAACTATTGACATTTTTAAAGATATAAGCTCACCCTGACATTACACTCATCGAGACCTTTCCTTTGAGTACCCACATCAACTTTTCATATATTTTACATATTTATATATATTATATATGAAAAATATATATCAAAATTAATAATTATGAGCTTATATCTTTAAAAATGTCAATAGTTCAAAAGATACAAGGTCATTTCTTAATTAAAGACATTTTTAAAGATATAAGCCCATCCCGATGTAACACTTATCAAAAGCTTTCATTTGAATACCCACATGCATTTTCATATATTTTTCATATATTCATATATATAAATATATAAAATATATGAAAAATTGATGAGGGTACTCAAATGAAAGGTCTCGATGAGTGCAACATCGGGATGAGCTTAAATCATTAAAATTGTCAATATTTCCCAAGATAAAAGGTCATTTCTTAAATATGTTTGCAATGATACATAATTTCATTAAAACACCGATTTTATCATATGACTATCCTGGAAACAAAATTTTTTTTTCTCTTAATAATAGAGATAATAATAATAATAATAGTAATGACATTAAAATTATTCAATTTTTTTTTTAAATAAATTATTTTAATTAAATCTCCCTGAGAAGTCAGTGTATGTAAACAGATAATAAAAAATTTTTGAAAATCTGTGAAATACCAGACAACTGTGAACATGTAGTGGTGGTAGTAGTAGTAGTATTGGTGGTTGGTGGTGATGATTGGTGGTACTTGGTTGGGTGAAAATTTAGGATGGTTGTGTAGGTGATCATTTTTGCATTGCTCGATCGCCGACGTTTGGATGCGGTTGCAATGATATAGATATATTGTTTGTAATTCAGCTAATAAAACGCTGCGGTTGACGGTAGCAGTAATAGTAGTAGTAGTAGAAGTTGGGACGATACGCGCTGAATATTTTGATCTTAGCATTCATATCGCGTTGGCTTGTCTGATTGATTGACTGATTGATGGATAACGATGCTCCTAGACGACTTAGAAGAGTTGCGGTAGCCCGAAGTTGGCTTATTGAAGGGTAATTGACGTACACGACAGACAGCAACGGACTGTCTGACTGACTGACTGATCTGACGGACGACTGGCTGCTATCGGTGGCTTGGTTGGTGGCTGATGGTGACTGGTGGGAAGTTAGTGGGCAGGCAGGCTATTTTTTATTTATTTTATTAGATTTTTTTTTGTTTAGCTTTTACTTAAACTCATTTGTTTAGTTTTTTTATTTTTAAGTTCTGTTTCGATTGGTAGGCTTTATTGTTCACGGTGGCTGTAGTAGAAGTAGCAGTAGCGGTAGTAGTAATGCTAGTGGTGATAGTAGTGGCGGGGAGATGATCAAACTTAGGTGTTGAATATCGACCATCACCGAGAATCTGTAAATGCCAGGTTTACACCAATTTAACTGATTGCTCGCAACTAGTTACCGTTTATCATACGACTTTATCATTACTTCTAGGATTCATTTGCTATTTTCAGCCTGCTTAACTCTGTACTTAAAAAAAAAAAAAATAAAATATATATACAATAAATTAAATCAACATATTAATTTGATTAATATCAGTACATCGACATCACCTCTAATTCATCGCGGTTCATAATTATTATCTCGACTTATAATTAACGTGCTTAATTTACTGCTCTCCACAAACTAGTCAACCAAATCCCAGTATCTTAATGTAATATACATTAAAAAATATATATATATATATATATATATATATATATATTTTAGTATAGACTATTTCATTTTAGTATAGAATATTTCTATATATATATATTATTAACAATTTCCTATGCTTGTTATAATAAAAAATATATATGAAGTTTTTTAAAATACGTTGAAAGAAAGAAACCATTAATAAAATTTGATAAAATTAAGAAAAAATTTTTTTTTTTAATTTTCAAAAATCGAAAATAAAATAGTAGCCATCGAGAACTCACGACCGGACCAGCCTGAAAAGTTGTGGTTTGAATAGCAGTTTACTTTAAAAAATTTTGAAGGAAATCAAAATATGCACTCACTTTAAAAAATGCAATTTAAATTTTAAAAATTAAAAAACACATATTAAAACACTTGAAATAATTTTTTTGGTTGAACTATTTCCTAAGAAGTTATCATAAAAAAACTATAAAAAGAGCGGTTTTTTTCAAAATTTGATATATTTTAAACCGGTGATCAAAAAAATCTCAATATCTCGGAAAAAGAGTTTTTTGATGGGTACAAAAAAAATATAAAAAGATTGAGTAAATCCAAATTAAAAATTTTTCAAACCGTCCGATTTTGCGTGGAATGCCCTATATATTAATGTATATACATACATTTTTATATTTTTTATATATATATATATATATATATACATTTTTAAATACATACACACATATATATATATTTAAATCCATACTTGGCACCTATCCTGATAGACACGCATCAAGATAGTTGTATCAACAATTTTATTAATACTCATTCCGTTGTTATAAATTAATTTATCATATCAATTTGAACTAGTACCAAGTATTTCATATTTTATTTGATCATAATCCTAAATAAAATATTAAGTAGTTTATAAATAACTGTTAAATATATATTTAATAATAAATCTACTGATGGCATTCGAGTGAAGCGTGCACGAAATAAATCCATAAAACATAAAATTAATAAAATACTGAATTAAATTTAAACAATACCCATTACTGACAATAGTAATCATAAACAAACACAATTGTTCTGTGTAGTTAAATAAATTACCTGCGATATTCACCGTAGGGCGAGTACCTCGGACTTGGCGAGCGTGACCTACAGAAATAAAAGATAAAAATACCCTGGACTTATTACTTGTTAATATGGAAAAATTATTAGTCTTGATAACTCCAACAGCCAAGTCCCAGATGCTCTGCTGTCACACTCGAATACTCTCATTAAAAAGCTTCTTACCTGGAGTAGCGAGATTCAGATCTTCTACGGGGACTGCGCGATCTCGACCTATGTTTGTAAAAAATTATTTGTTTTTATTATTTTTAAATTATCGATAAATTCCCATCAGCAAGTTTACTTTTTAATATTATTTCAACAGACATTGCACGTTCCATTGATGATGACCTAATCCTTAACAACAGTGCATTAAATAATGTACGTGCGTCTAACAATAATTACCTTTGGTAATTATTAATTAATTAAAGTGATTAAATACGTCTAAATTTAAATTAAAGAGTAACTATTACTATTTTACTATAAATATAATTTATTTAAAATCTTACCTAGAGTATTTGGGTCCAGGTCTACGGCCACCTCCTGCACGACGGCTCCTTCCCGAGGACATTTCAACTCTTACTCTGGTACCGCAGCAACGTCTAAATAATAAATAATTTTAGATAGTAAATTTTTTAATTAAAATTTCTAATTTTTAATTTATAAATTTATAAAATTATACAGACTTTCCATGCAGCCCGCGCACAGCGTCTTCGGCGTCTCTGGGGTCCTCAAACTCGACAAACGCGAACCCTGGAGGGTTCCTGGCGACCCAGACATTTCTCAGTGGACCGTATTGACTAAAGGCGTTCTCAATCTCGTGTTTACTGGCACTACTTCCCAAATTTCCGACGTAAACTTTGCATGACAAATCCCACTCGCGGTACCTAGACATTTTGCCTGGAAAAATAATTATTTTATAAGAAAAATTCAAGAATTATTATTGTTATGATTGGGATAATAGATGAGAGGCTTTTTTTTTTTTTATGATAGTACTTAGCGTCTATTTGAGCGGAGGTATTAATAGGCAGTTATTAATGAGAAAAACAGTGGATAACCATGAACTCAACCTTGAAATGGCGTTTTAATTGATAAAATAAAGTGACATTTAATTTTTTTTGTTTATTTGGTGGTAGCTGGGGATTGTTGACGGAAGTGTACTTACAGTTTTGTTTGTTTGGAGTTTTTCAACAATGGTCACGAGTATTTTCCTTTAAAAAAATCGTCAACAAATGAGAGTTACCGCAGCACTGTACACTAGTAAATTATAAAATGGCGACGCAATGCGGCGCGTTCTTTATTACTCCTTCTTTTTAGATACTGACAGCTAGTGACATCTAATTTTTTTTTTATTAGCGGAAAAAGTGTCAAATGAAAACTGAAAATTTTACATATATTGTCAGATTTATTAAAATTTTGTGATACTCAAATCAGCTGACATCTTACATTTATTTTTTATTTTTATTAGAAATTTATTGTAAAAAAATATTTTTTTAAAACTTAAACTTGTAAATTAGACGCAAAATTTTTGTAATAATAATAATTTAATTTTTAATTTTATTTTTTAGTGAAAGTTTTGTTGTTTTTAATAATTCTGAAGTTGAGTGACATTTAATAATTATAAAAAAATTTTATGACATTTAAGTTAGCAGTCACAACAATTTTTTAATTTTATTTAATTAAAAAATTTACTCCAAAAAATTAGTTTTAAACAATTACATTATTTATTTTTTAAAATTTCTATAAGTCAATTTTTTTTTGCCATAATTTATTTATGACATTAAAGTTAGCAGTCACTAGAAAATTTTTTAATTTTTTTTAACAAAAAAATTTGTTCAAAAAAATTATTTTTAAAAAATTGCATTTTTAATTTTTTTTAATTTTTTACATGTCAATTTTTTTTAATTTTTTTTTTTTTGCCATAATTTATTTGTTAAAAAAATTATTAAAAATATGCTAAATTAATTTTCATAAAATTTTTGTGACCAATAGTGACAATAATAAATTTTAAATAAAAATTTTACATTTATAAATTATAAAAAAAAATAAGTGAAATTTTTTAAAAATAATTTTTTTACATAATTGACTAACAGTGAAAATGACAAGTGTCAGACTGAAATTTTATAAAATATAAATGACACTGAAGTCAACTGACATTAGAAATTTTTTACATTATTTTATAACAATGAAATTATTATTATTAAAAAAATTCCACATGTGAAAATTTTTTTTATTGTAATTGATTTGTTGCAAAAATAGACAATTGTCAGCTGACTTTAGTATAATAAAATATAAATTTGTAGTTTATTTACAGTAAAAATCAAATTATTTTTGTTATGATTAATTATAAACAAAATATACTATATGAGTTATTTTTATTTGTCAAACAATTATAATTATAATTAATGGTTACATTTTTAGTAGGCTTTATATTAAAAAAATATATCAAGTGATGAATGATTGTAATTAACAAATACACATAAGCAATTTTTTTATTGGAATATCCTTAACTAATAGAATACAAAATAATACAAGTTAATACCACAATATAAGACTGATCAATTGTTATGAAAGAAGAAAAATAATTTCTCTGTCTGCGTAAAAGTAATGCCAAATTATGTATAATTATTTAGTCAGACCCTACAGGAATAAAAAAATAAGCTCACAAATACGTAAAAAAAAAATTTACAAATCTAATCGAAGCTAATGATTTTAAACATATGGAAAAATCGCTGTACCTTGATTTCTTCAATCAATAAATCGTAATTATTAACACACATTATTAATATCGTAATTATTGTTTTTGTTATTTATAATTAATGTGATACGTAATGAGCTTAAATACACAAACGTGAGCGTATTATATATAATAATTAATTAATCAATTAATTTAATTGATAATTGCAATTTTAATCCGTCCTTTATTATTGATCGATGATAGCACTTAACTGTAATTGAATAATCAATAATAATAAAAGTGATCTTGAATGTTAAATAATTGATTATTATCAAAATTTATTATATTTATTAGTACCGTCTGTCGCGAGACTCCGAGCGGGAACGACGGTCTCGGCTACGACTGCGTGTCAAAGATCTTCTGCGAGGACTGCGGGACCGTGACCTAAAATTTCACAAGTAGAATATTAGTATAATGTTTATCAATTAATTAATTAAAGTATATTTTTTTTAATTGCAAACAATATTTGATCATGTTTATTTGAATTTAATAAACAAAAAAAATAAATAAAAAAATTAATTTATCGAGACCGCAATCACCAAACAATATCAAATATTATTTAAATACACAAAGTATAAAATCACATCAGAAACTAACAGCTAAAGCTCTTATTAATTAACAAATTACTAATAAAATTAATAAGTTAATTGTAAGATGCTGTCCAATAATTTATAGTTAAAAAAAAAAAAAAAAAAAAAAAAAAACAAAATAAAAAATTGGAGTATATACTGAGCAAACGAGGAAATAATTAAAAATGAAGCATATAAAAATAAGCGTAAATAAACGCATGGTTAGTGATAGATGTCTAATGTCTAATGATGTCGATAAAACTCGTTGGCTCAGTTTTATAAATATTAATAAATAAATTTTGGAGTAAAATTTTTAAAAATCGGTGAGATACCCAAAACAACTGTGAGCATGTGGTAGTAGTGGTGGTGGTGGTAGTAGTAGTAGTATTGGTGGTTGGTGGTGATGGTTGGGTGAAAATTTAGGATGGTTGTGTAGGTGATCATTATTGCATTGCTCGATCGCCGACGTTTGGATGCGGTCGCAGTGATATAGATATATTGTTTGTTATTCAGCTAATAAAATGCTGCGGTTGACGGTAGCAGTAATAGTAGTAGTAGTAGAAGTTGGGACGATACGCGCTGAATATTTTGATCTTAGCATTCATATCGCGTTGGCTTGTCTGATTGATTGACTGATTGATGGATAACGATGCTCCTAGACGACTTAGAAGAGTTGCGGTAGCCCGAAGTTGGCTTATTGAAGGGTAATTGACGTACTCTGACGGACAGCAACGGACTGTCTGACTGACTGACTGATCTGACGGACGACTGGCTGCTATCGGTGGCTTGGTTGGTGGCTGATGGTGACTGGTGGGAAGTTAGTGGGCAGGCAGGCTATTTTTTATTTATTTTATTAGATTTTTTTTTTGTTTAGCTTTTACTTAAACTCATTTGTTTAGTTTTTTTTTTTTATTTTTAAGTTCTGTTTCGATTGATAGGCTTTATTGTTCACGGTGGCTGTAGTAGAAGTAGTAGTAGTAGTGGCGGGGAGACGAGTAGAACTAGGAGTTGACACTGGTAGAATCTGTAACCGTCAGTTTTACCATTATAACAATCAACGTATTCATACTCCGTGCCACTATTTGCATAAATTTTTTTTTTTTTCATTTTTTATTATTTTATTATTCAAAATAAATAAATAATAAATTCATTTTTTATTTAATATTATTAATTCAACTATTGATGATCCTAGACTGCCCACTCTAATGCAAATGAGACATCATGTGTTGGGATTCTGAATTTAAATAAAAATCTACAATCTAATTAACGCTATGATAAATTGCTTTAACTACCAAAATAAATTATAAATTATAAATAATTATTTATATTATATTATTATTATCAGGAAGACACACTAGCTTTAAAATATCATTAATAACTGATGCGCTTATTTATGATTCAATCTCAAGATTCAACGAACGATGAACGATGACCTGAATAAATAAAAAGAAAATAAAAAATAATAATAATAATAAATTATAATTTTAAAATCAAATACTATTTTTAAATAATTAAATAAAATTATAGTCTGGTTGAACGAGTGCATATGTGCGATCTTTATCGTGTTACTCTTAAATTTAATTGATAAAATTTTCGTTCGCTGAATAATTTATTATTCTATTTGATAATAAGTTTATTGTCAGACCAACAACTACCAATAATAATAATTATAATGTCCGTGCAAATCTAATCAACATAATTCCATCTCAATACGTACTGTTAGTAGCACATCGTCTCAATGACCACTGGACCGGTAAAACGATCTGAAATACTTTACAATACCGATAATTACGTAAATAATTCATACCTGGAGTATCTTGTGACTGGGGATCTCTTTGGACTCTTGGACAGCGACCTAAAGAAAATAAAACATCATTTATTTATTTATTTTACCCTTCGCCGGCTCATCCGAGGCCTCGTGTCAATCGATGAAGATTTTTTTATATCAATTTACAGATAATAAAATTACCTGGGGTATCGGCCAATTGATTTTCTACGAGGACTGCGGGATCGCGACCTACAAATTTCCAAAAAAATATATCGAAAATAAGTATGTGTGCTTAAAATTAAAACTCGAAATAAAATATAAAGTGACAAAAACAATGCCCAGGTGCTAGCATTATTTTTAAGAAAAAAAATTTCTTTAAGTCAAATATATTAAATAATAATCAATGCTAAAATGTTCGATACATTAAGTAGCGATTTACATACCCAGTAACGGCCTTTTTTTTTCTTGTAATTATAGTAATTAAATATAAATACGCACCTAGAGTAACGTGGACCCGGTCTACGACCTCCTCCGCCTCCACGGCGACTTCTTCCTGATGACATTTCGACTCTTACTCTTGTGCCACAGCATCTCCTATTTTTTAAATAAAATAAATTTATCAAATTTAATAATATTCAAAAATTAAAAAATACAGTAGCGCTGAAAAGTATTTTGACAAATATATTTAATGGTTTAATTAAAAATAAATATGACACAGAATAATCATATATTTATTTTTTAACAACTTTTGAATAATCTAAAGAATAGTGTCAAAGTGGTCTTTGTTTGTAACAAAAGAGTTTAATTTTTAAAATATTAGGAAAATGGTGGCTCCAAAGTATTTTGACATTATTGAAAAAAACTAACGCATAATGTTGTCAAAATACTTTTGAGCGCTACTGTATATAACATATTAAAATTCGTTCCAAAAATTATAATATTTATTTAGAGACGTAAGATGGACGGTGGAGTAAGAAAGTCGATCTTTGCAAGTATTTTTTTTCACAATCAGATGTTAATTTTATTTATTAAGCTTTTTACATATTTTAATTTAAAAAATAAATAAATAATAGATATCTAGACAAATAATTATATATCAAATATCATTAATAGTCACACTGAAAAAAATTTTTTTAATAATAATTTAAGTCAGTAACACAGCTGTCCTCCAGATTGCGACATCCTGTACTCCACTAAAATAATTTAATAACTTAGAAAAAAAAAAACTTTACTCAATTATTTCACTACTTGATACTAACTTTATTCAACATAAAGTTCACTCATATCAGTACCAAGCGTATTCGGTGATATCTCGACTTAATAATATATTACAAATGATGGCGGGCTTTTAAGAATCTCTAATCAATATTTTTTTAATTAATAATATGTTTACTTCGAATTCAGATACCTGAATTTAAAAGAAACTTTTAATCAATAATTTCATTTTTTAAGAATAAAACTATATTGTTTTACAAACATTATTCGACGTCCACTTTACTCAATAATATATAATTTATACATCTATATGTAGTAATTTTTTTTTTTTTAATTTGTTAAATTATTTTGTTGGAGTACAAATAACGCAGAGCTGAGCAATTTTGAGTACAGTTTTGTCTTTGCTGAATAACATAATATTAAATAATTAAAAAATTGAATAAAGATTTTTAAAAGCCCGCCATCACTTCTAATAATATTATTGAGTTGAGATATCACCGAATACACTTGGTACTAAACGAACTTAACGTTGAATTAAGTTAGAATCGAATAGTGAAAGAAGTGAGTAAAGTTTTTTTAAGTTATTAAATTATGTTATTGGAGTACAGGATGTCGCAGAGTTGAGTAATCTGGAGAACAGCTGTGTTACTGCCTAATGTAATTGCTATAAAATTATAAAAAAATTTTTTCATGTCTAAAGTCAACTTCAGTATGACATTTAATATAAATTAGCAGTCACTTTACCATTTTAAAAAATTTTTTTAACCCAACTTGTTAAAAATAATTATTAAAAAAAAAATTGTTTTTTCAATTTTTTTAAATTTCCAAATTTTTAATAATTCTGAAATTGAGTGACATTTAATAATTAAAAAAAAACTTATGTCATTTAAATTAGCAGTCACTTAACAATTTTTTAATTTTTATTAATTAAAAATTTACTCCAAAAAATTATTTTTAAAAAATTACATTTTTTATTTTTTAAAATTTCTGTGTCAATTTTTTTTGCCATAATTTATTTGTAAAAAAAAATTGTTAAAATTAACAAATATCTTCTAGATTAATTTTCATAACTTCACTGCCTTGAAGAAATTTAAAAAACTATGAGTGACTAAGTATTTTAAAAAATAAATTATTAAACTTACGTTCCATGAAGGCCTCGAACAGCATCTTCAGCGTCTCTAGGGTCCTCGAACTCAACAAAGGCGAAGCCCGGTGGATTCCTAGCCACCCAAACATTCCTAAGAGGTCCGTATTTACTGAATGCATTCTCAATCTCATGCTTGCTAGCACTGCTGCCTAAATCACCGACGTACACTTTGCATGATAAATCCCACTCGCGATAACGCGACATTGTGTGTACCTAAATGAAAAAAATTTTATCAGTTAATTCTATCAACTTTAATTGACAGGTATAAGAAAATTGCGAGCCGAGTGTCAACAGCACACAAGCACATCAAAGCCGCGAATTGTCCGCCATTTTCATGCTACCAGTATTGACAGTAATTTATTGCTCTGGAATTAATGAGTTTTATGAAATTAAGTACATTTCAATTATTTTTAAGAAACTGCACGGAAAGAAAAAAAATTTAATTCTTGAATAAACACTGTTTTGCATTTATTAATTTATTTAATAACAGTGTTTGTGTGATGTTGAAATTCGCCGTCAATAAATTTCACAACTCGGCTGACAGTTTTTTTTAAATGTATCAAGTAATAAGTGATGATTAACTTTTTATGAGTACTTACTTATTGTAACGAGTATTTAAGACGTGAAAAACTAAATTCTGATGTTGAAAATTTTATTTATCACAATTAAATCTTAAATTAAACAGACCCAAACTTCAGGTCTTGAGTGTGTTTAATAGAAGTGTTAAATCTAAAATGGAGGTTTTTTTATTCGATTGTATTTTGTAATGACAGTTACTAGCGCCGCTTGGTGAGTCGCGTTGGAATTAAAATTTTTTACAGTTTCCCGCAAAATTAATCAAATTTACATAAAAATTAGAATATTCTTAATTAATAATAATGATACTGAAGTCAGCTGACAGCGGTCAACTTTTTTACAAAATAATTACAATAAAAAAAATTTTTTTTTTTAATTTCCACTAATGTCATGTTCAAAATTCCTAAATTCTCTAGTACTATTTATGAACATTCGTTTGTTGTTTCGGCTATCAGGTTCTGGCAAGATTTGCCACCTGAAAGTAATAATAAAGTTAGCCGACATTTTTTATTTTTTTATTTCGCCTAATTTATTAGTTTATAACTAAAAAATATTTTTAAAAAATTACACATAGTTTTTGAAGTTTTTAACAAATGAAAAAAATTTTTTTTTTAATTTTTTTGTAATAATTCTTTAATAAAAAAAATCATAAAAATTTTTAGATGTCGGCTAACTTTATTTTAATCACCTGAAATCCCAAATTCTCTTAGCTTAGAATCATTTAAATCCAAGCTATTCGATATTCTTTTAAGTTTAGATTAGCTATTTTAATTAGTGATAAATACTGGTAAAGTGTAAAAATTTATATATTAAGATATTTAAAATTGTAACCATGCTACTCTTTCTGAATGTACTAAATTCTTTATTTACTCAAGCTATACTTCAAATTTTAATTATATTAATTACGGATAATACAAAATTTTTATACTTAAGCTAATACTTCGAATCTTAATTTTATTACTTATGGAAAACAAAATTCTATGTATTTACTTCTCGCTATTTGACTTTATGCCTTGGTATTCAAATTCAATGAATAAAAAATAATTTTTTTTAATTTTCACTTGTGAAATTTTTTTATAAATTTATTTCATAATTTTATTGCTATAAAATTATAAAAAAAATTTTTAATGTCAGTTTACTTCAGTAGCTTTAATAATAAATAAAATAAACGTAAAAATTATACTAAAATTCGCAAACAAACACTTCTTGAGACTTATTATTACAAATCAATTTATTATCCAAAAATTATTTTAAAAAATTGGTCGGATTAACTTACAACTATTTTAAAAAATAATTTTATAAAAAAAATGTTGTTGGCAGGTTAGAACTTAATTATTACGTTTGTCAACAAAGAATATTTGTCAAAAAAAAATTACAGCCTATTGTAGTCAATTTTTTCCAACTGCACCAGAGGTTTCAGCTGTTCAGCAAAAACCCGCATGTCTTCAGCAATAGCATCCTGACCACGAGGCGCCAGAACACTTAACTCAACTAAATAACTTGAAGAGATAGCCTCCATCGAGTCCATGACTTTTCCTTGAGGCATTTTAAAAATTTTCGACACGGTGATCTTCATTCTTCCTTTCCTGAACATGTATCCTCTGATAATGTACTCGAAGTCGAGTCTGCAGCCCATTTCAGTGAGAAACTCGATCACGGTGTTGCTCGTACCGACGTCAATGCTGCTGCGAACAACTGCGGCCCTCGATTTGTCTCCCAGCTCAGGTTGTCCAATGTATCTCAGCTGGAACGGCATGTCTGGGTAGTCGATTGCTCGCCTGACTCTTAGTGACACAGGAGGATCTGTTGGTCCGCTAAAAAATAGTTTATTTTGATTATTTTTTATATGATACTGCAGTTAGCTGACAACTGTCAATTTTTTTTATTTTTGTAACAATCAATTATAATAATGAAAATAAAGTTGGCCGAAAGCTAAAAATTTTTATGTTTTTTTTTAATAAAAAAATTATTACAAAAAAATTTTTCCTTTTGTAAAAAACTTCAAAAACGATAAGTGTAATTTTTTTTTAAATATTTTGTAGTTCTAATTTAATAAATTAAGCAAAATCAAAAATGTCGGCTAACTTTATTAATATTTATAATAAAAAAAAATTCTTCTAAAAATTTTAACTCCTGTTTTTTTTCTTAATTTTCATTTGTGGAATTTTTTTCATAATAATTTAATTGCAAGACATTGAAGATAACTGACATTAGCAATTTTTTTAAAATTCCGTATGTAAAAATTAAAAGAAAATTTTTAAACCATTTTTTTATTGTAATTGATTTGTTGTAAAAAATAGAATAAATAAATTATTTTCATTTTTTTAATTAATTGAATTAGAATTAAAAACATTTTAAAAATTATCTAAGTAGGGAATTTTTTTATAACAGTCAAGTTAGCCGACGTTTTTAATTTTTTTTTTTAATATTAAATTAAAACTAAAAAATATTTTTCAAAAATTGCACTTAGTTTATCAAGTTTTTTATAAATGAAAATTTTTTTTTATTTTGTAATTATTTTTTCAAAAAAAAAAAAAAATCTAAAAATTTTTGTACCTATGCCGGCTAACTTAATTTTCATAATTTTTTTTTCAATTATTTGTAATAAATTTTTCATTAAAAAAAATTCTTAAAATTGTCAGACGTCGGCTAACTTTATTTTTATTATTAATGTCTTAAATACCTTCTTATGCTAAAGCATGCCTCATGGTCATGAAAAGATTCTGTTCCGCTGTCAACGTTGTCACACAACCCTCGGAGACGATGGAGTAGAACCTCAACTGCAGTGTCTAGTACAGATCCTTGTAATAAATATTCTTGATTAGGAATAATATTTGATTGTATTGCTGAATGTAAACTATCAACAGCTGATGAAATTGCTGAGGCCATTTTTTTTATAATTATCAAATTTCCAGTTTTTTAAAAAATAATTTATGACAATAACAGTGAAAACTTTTGACTTGTAAATAATAACACAGTACATAACAACATAACCTTGGAAGCTTGAAAACTGTCATGTTGATTCTAGAATTTTAGAATCAGAAACTTGGACTTGCGCCATCTATAATTCAATTTTCTGTTGACGAAATTATAAACTGACAAGTATAGGAAATTTTATATAAAAAATTACTTTGCTAAATCATAAGTATGAAATAGATAAAAAAAAAAAGTGTTTTCTTCATAAAAATAATTTTTATCCATATTGTTTACAAAATAAAATTTTAAAAAATCTATTTTAGATTATTTAAATAAGTGACTAACAATTATTGTTATAAAATAAAAGAAGAAATCAAGAAACTGATGAAGTTAGCTGAAAACTGTCATTTTTTTTTAATTTTTATAACAATCAATAACAATAAAAAAAAAATTGTTTTAAAAAAATTTTTCATGAAAATTAAGCTAGCCGACATTTAAAAATTAAAAAAATTTCTTTATATCAAAAAAATAATTAATAAAAAATAAAAAGAAATTTTCATTTACAAAAAAATTGAAAAACTTTAAGTGCAATTTTAAAAAAATATTTTTTAGTTTTATATTAATAATTGAAAAAAAATTAAAAACGTCGGCTAACTTTACTATTATAAATTTTCCACTAATAATTTTTTTATAAATTTTATATATCCAATTTTTTCCATAATTATTTATTTGCTATAAAATTATAAAAAAATGATGACATTTAAGTTAGCAGTCACTTGACTATTTTTTATTTCTTTTTAACAAATAAATTTGTTCCAAAAAATTATTTATAAAAAATTGCATTTTTTATTTCTTTTTAACAAATAAATTTGTTCCAAAAAATTATTTGTAAAAAATTGCATTTTTTTTTTTTTTAATTTCTACATGTCAATTTTTTTTTTTTAATTATTTTTTACTATAATTTACTTGTTAAAAAAATTCTTAAAATTATCAAATGTCTGCTAAATTAATTTTCATAAAAAAATGTAATTTAAGTTAACCTCAGTAATGAAAAAACCACAAAAGGCATTTTAAAATATTTATTATACAAATACTTGAAAAATTTTTACAACTTTAAATGATTATTGGTTAATATATATCGTATTAGCAATCTTTAATATATAAGTGCAGTGAAAAATGATATTTAAGATTGAAAAAAGTACAATATAATTTTCAACGGTGATTATGAATCGATCAGTACAATTATAGAGCATGACACCGACTCGGCAATATGTAAGTATATATATTAATTATCACAATACGCTTAAGAACTTATTATAACAACTTCTAGTCAACTAACGGACCCCAGAAGTGTTTGCTGGGTTTAGTATGATCTTCAGTAAGGAAAAATTCTCGCCCCAGTCTCATGAACTCTTTCTCTGTTATTTTTCCATCTTCATTTTGGTCGATGTGGGCGAAGGAAATCACAGCATGCTGTAAGTCTTGATTATTAAGAAGCCGGGAAATGAATGAATTAATTAATTTAAAAAAAAAAAAAAACAAACACTTACATCGTTATCTATATCTAAACACTTGAAAAATAATTTGTACTCTTCTACAGATATTTCTCCATCGCCATCTTTGTCAACCGCCTACAAGCAGACGATAAATATTATCAGGTAGCTGAACAAACAAACAAATTGAAACATTGTGAATGAAAACAATAATATTTACGTACCTTGAAAAGGAAAGGCAGAAAATGGTGACATTTTCTTTTCAGCGACGTGTCGTTCAGCACGTGATGCATTTCTTCAAGGTACTGTTCCACACCCACCAGATTGTAGGGACTTATTTCGCCCCATTGTTCTTGCCACATGTCCTACAAACAAACCAATCGTTTATTCAAATGGAACCCGCATTTTATTTATACAAACAAATTCAAGGTTTTTTTCTTTATTTATTTACTTTTTGTTTTTATTAATTAAAACACTTACACTTAAAACTTTTTGGAATTCTTTTTTAGCCTCCGGAGTAAGATGCCCAATGTCTGCGAATCTGTCTGCAAGAAGCATAAAGTCTTCGTAGCTAATTACTCCATCCTTATTAACGTCCAAGTGACTGTGTAATGTTCTCATTTTTCTTCTCCAAAAGACTGATTGACCCTAAGTATAATTTATAAATTATTTAGTAAGCCTCAATCAAGTAGCTACTTTGTTGATATAAATAATCTAGCAACCTTGCAGTCACTATGTGACTGCCGTGACTTGTGAATTATAAATAAATGAAATTTTGTTTTATTAAATAATGATTTTTATTCCCGAAAAATGGGAATAAAAAAAGGAAATGAAAAAAAAGGAATTGAAAAAAAAATTGTCAAATTTTGGGGACATCCATTAATTACGTGAGCTTAGAATGGGGGGGGGGGGTCCAATGAAATCTCACCAAATCTCATCTAAACCAACGTTTAAGTTTAAGTTCGAGTTCTAGGATTCCGTTTACGTTTGAGTTTAAGTTTAGCTAGTTTGAGAGTTCCTAGCAATTAAAAATTCTTTGATAACGTTTTCACTGGTTTTGGGACATCCATTAATTACGTGAGCTTAGAATGAGGGGGGAGGGGTCCAATGAAATCTCACCAAATCTCATCTAAGCCGAGGGGGGGATAATCAAAAATCTCACCTCAACTTCAAAAAATATAAAATATTACAGACATTAAAAAAAAAATTATTTTGAGTGTTTATTTTGCCCGCTAAAATAAATTTTATGTCTATTAAAATCATTTACGCTGATGATTTAAACAAGCTCTTCTCAGAGCTAATGGTGAATTTCTTTAACATTATAATTATAATATGTATGTATAAAAAAAGTACATGAGTCTCCATGGATTGAGTAAAAATTAAAAAAAAGTGTTGTTTTTATGTTTTTTTTTGCTTTGAATTTTATTTAATTTAAATAAATTAACTATAGTATACTTGAATGGTTTATTATTCTCCCGAATAATAAAAATAATTTTAATTTAAAATATTTTTAGCGTCAATTTCACGTAAGGGGAGGGGGGGTCCAGACAAATCTCACTAAATCTCACCTAAGGGGGGGAGGAGTCTAAACTGATCGAAAAATAGCTCACGTAATTAATGGATGTCCCCTTTCTAGAATAAAAAAAAATTTTTTTTTTCAATTAAATAAAAAAAATATAAAAAAAAATCGGCTCTGCCCGGGATGAGCGGGAATAGTTGTCAAATTGATTGAAGTTTTTTTTTGAGAAAAAAAAATAAAAAAAAAAAAAGTGACCAACTTTAAAAAAAATAACGATTTTGCTAAAAAAAAAACCGATTATTTTAAAGAATTGATCATATTTATTTTTTTTTGTGTATTTCTTCGAAAAGTTCATTCAAAAACAAAAATTAAAAAAAAAAAGGTACCCAAAGTCTAAAAAAGTTATGGCTATTTGAAAATGAAAAAACCAATTTTTTGGGAAATTCATAACTTTTTTTGGGTTGGATGAAAAAATTCTCAAAAATGTCTTTCAAGGGGTAGAAAAGAATAGAAAAGTTTCAGCTAAATCTAAAGGGGTCGGGTTCAAAAGTGGTCGATGTGACATGGAATACCCCATATATATAATATATAAACATATGAAAAATTGATGTGGGTACTCAAATGAAAGATCTTGATGAGTGTAATGTCGGGATGAGCTTATATCTTTAAAAATGTCAATAGTTCACAAGACATTTGTTAAAATGCCCTGTACTTTCTTAACTATTGACGTTTTTAAAGATGTAAGCTCATCCCGATGTTACACTCATCAAGAGCTTTCATTTGAGTACCCACATGCATTTTGATATATTTTTCATATATTTATATATATAAATATATAAAATATATAAAAAATTGATGTGGGTACTTAAATGAAAGGTCTTGATGAGTATAATGTCGGGATGAGCTTATATCTTTAAAAATGTCAATAGTTCACGAGATGCAAGGTCATTTCTTAATTATGTATCTAGGGATAGAGTATTTTCGAATGCAGCCTAAATACTTATCATAAATTGACTATTGGTGAGAATGATATGAAACCTTGAAAAGACACAAATTCAAGTTAAGACCTTTGCAATGACACTAAATTTCACTAAAAAAACCGATTTTATCATATAAATACACTGGCCACAAAATTTTGCTTATTCTCTTAATAATATAGATAACATTTCATCAAAATTAATTAACCAGATATTTGATAATTTTTTTTTTTTTTTAATAAATTATGGCGAAAAAATGAGAAAAAAAATTGAAATTATTAAAAATTAAAAATGCAATTTTTTAAAAATAATTTTTCGAAAAAAATTTATTTGTTTAATTAAAAGTAAAAAATAGTCAAGTGTTGATTAAAATGTCAAAATTTCATGATTAAAAAAATAATTTGACTTATAGAAATTAAAAACAACTGTTCATGCAATTTTTTTTTAAATATTTATTAAATTGTCAAAAAAATTATCAAATGTCAAATAATGTTATGCTAATAATGTCTTTATTTGAGCATCTGCAAAACAGATATAAAATCCGCGTTACCCCTAATTTTGTATCAAGTAGATAAAACTCCAAAATTACGCCGTAAAAAATATCTACAAAGAATTTTTTCTCATAAAAAACTTGAAAATTAATTTACTTATTTTTTACAATTATTAATTCCTGAATCAGCGATTATTCTATTAATAGACAAAGCATGATTATCTCGAGTAATCAAAGAGTTAAACACGTACTTATCATTAGCAAATGCTTGTAATAATAAAAGTAACTAATAATTATTCATAAGTTAATATATTAATATGCCAACGCGAATAATTACCATATTCGATTTTAAGTAAAAATGATATTTGGGTGAAGGTTGATAAACACTAGCTTCTCGATATCATTGACGATAACCTTTTAAACTATATCAATACAGTTTCCTTTTTGTTTTAAATAAAAGAGTTAAGTAAGTCAGTTTATTTAAATGAAACTGAAATTAATTTTATTGCAGATTACAGGACACTAAAATATTACGGACCAAACGGTGCTTGCATCCAGTTTCAAGGACAACGACTTAGAATGCACCGTTAGCGTCGTTGACCGGCTTATACTTTCATAGACAACTGCAGTCTATGTACAGGCATTGCAGCAAGTATTTCCCCAGCTAAACTTTAGTTATACAATAATTAAATTTAATAGAAAGTATTTTTGCATTTCAGTGCAGCGTTATGGTTATCTATTTGGTACAACTTAAAAATTGCTTCGATAAAATTATCAAGCAATTGGGACAGCAGAGTTATGGCCTGACATGATCTATGAGTTTAATGAGTAAAGAGGTTGGATGTATCAACTGTCTCTTGAAAATTAAATTAATATTTTGGAGCTCAATAAATGGCAAGCCGGATAGAACGATCAGTCAATTTATAAATCACGGGTAAATTAAATCCGAGTTATTTTTATCGTTGTATTGTCAATCGTTTTAATGAATACGAGACTCACTAGGTCACGTTCTTCATCGGAGTCACTATCACTGTCGCTTTCCTCGTCCACAGATGCTGAAGCTCGGGATTGATGGACATTCCTTTTGCTCGACATTCGCCTTATCATCGTCGAGCTAAATGGCTGAAAAAATTTTAGATTTATATTATAATATTACTCAGTGTTTAATACACCAGACGGCGATTAACATAACTGCATATATGATAATGATAATTATCCGTTAATAATAATTACAATCAAGCTATTGTTTTCAAAGTTTTTTTATAGAGAATTTTTCTCTTAGGTGAACGTATGTTTTATGTTACAACACGTTTTAATGTTCTAATATGGCATTGCAAGTTTTATCTGATCAACGGTCAGTTGTCATTTATTTTTTTCCGATCAAACTTTTTATTTTTTATTTATATTTTACAGAATTTTATAGTAAATTTTTGATAATGGAGTGAAAGTTTCAGTAAACTTTATTTATTTTACAGTACTGGAAAATTGCGATAAATTTTTTTTTATAAAGAAGAAATTAATCAAAGATATAAAAAAATTACAATATTTTTTTATAAAAAACAAAATAATCTCAAAAAAAAATTTTTTTTAAAATAATTGACAGAATTTATTATCTGCATAAAAGAATAAATTTAAAATATTCAGAAGTATTAAAAATAATTCAAATTTATTTATTTTAAATAAATTTTTAATTGCTTTTTTAATCAGAGTATAAAAAAATTTATTTTTCAACTTCTTATGTTGAATACAAATCAATTAAATAAACAAGTTTTCTATTCTATAAAACATGAGTAGTATTGCAACTTGTAAATGCAATTTTCTACATATTGAGTTCACTTAAGTGCATTAACCCGATAGAAGATTATGAAACAAATCCACAAACATATAACTTATAAAATTTTATCTTTAAAATAATTTTATATTTTGTTTACATTCGATCGATCGAAAATAAATAAATAACTAGACAGAAATTTTGGTATTGAAAACACATTCCGCTTATTGATATTGAATCCTTACAATTAAATTTATAATAATAGCATATCCGTTACAATTAATAATTTAATTGTTTATAATATATATTTATATTCCATAGTTATGTTCATTATTTGGCGTGAATCACTTGTTCTTTTAAAACACTACAAAATCTATCACGATAACACGCAGTTTATTCTTACAGCAACTTTATAACTTTGTAATTAATGTTTTACCCATTCAATATATATATAATAATGATATTAATAATTATTGGTAATTAATAATAATAATCAATGAGAAGTACATAATTCTGACTAATTGCGCGATACAAATTAGTTATTAACGAGTCATCGCATTAAACTCTAATCCATAGCATTATTATTTAATTTCATTGTTTTATCGACCAATTATTAAAATATTTACAATTTAAAGTATTCCTAATTTATTAATTAATTAATATTATCATTAATATTGTATTAAATATTAATAGTAAAAAGATATTAATTACGGCAGGAGCTATTTGTGCTTATTTATTATTGAAGATAAAACGGAGATTAATTATAAAAAAATAAATATACAAAATATTTTTTTACATATTATTAATTTCAATCACTTCCGTTTTTTATTTATTTGGTTAATCCCTGTTTCTGTTAAACAACACCCTCTACTTTTTTAAATATTTTATCTCGAAATTAAATTATTTAATTTTCATAAATTTTATTTTTTTAATCAGTTTAATTTTAATTATAAAATAAAAATATTATTAAAAATTAAATGATTTAATTTTCATAAATTTTAATTATTATTAAATTTTATTTTTTTAATCGGTTTAATTTAAATTATAAAATAAAATATTAAAATTTTCAGTAATAAAAAATAATGAAAATAAAATTTATAAAAAAGCAGAGGGTACAGTCTAAAAACGGCACATTAGATAATAATCTTTCAACAAGCATTAAAAGCTCTTATCACCGATCGCTTAAATTGCTCGACATACTTATTAGTAATTACTCCATATGTAATAACATTTTAAGTGTACAAAAATATCTCAATTGCTATAAGAATTATTATTTAATAATATTGAGCATTATAATCGATCGTAAACATTACATTACGTTATTTATATCTTGAGCTTAATTCATTTTTAATAAATTACACCGACTAATTACTCTCCGTGATATCTTCAAGCACTGTCATTATTATAGTTCTCTTACAAAACATTACTTCTCAATTGTAGACCGTTTTATAATCATTATTAATAAAATACTTAAACTTAAAATCAAAAATGCATTTGGCATATCTATTACAAATAAATAAAACTAAATAATTTTTAATTAAAAAAAAAATATAAACCATTAAAACAATTCAAAAATATTACACCGCCAATAAACTAAATAAATAAATATTCTAAATAAATTTACGTTAAAATCATTTAATAAACCTTCATCATCATCAATATCATTAAGATTTTAAAAACTACTTATAAATTCACTTTACAAAAGTGGCAGTCGACGAGATGAATACTAGCTTGTATAATAAATTACTCGATAAATATAAATAAATTAAATTACTTTATTTTCCCATCATTACTCGAAGGTAAATTAACCACCGACTGTCTAGCAGTTTTATTACCCCGCTTAACATTAGAATAACTATAAGTATCAACAAGTGACTTCCGATTGTTTCGCTTATCACTGGTCTCATCTGTCCTAGACTCTGGTATTTTCCAACTAGTTGGTCTGGATGCTCCACCAAGCGTGACTGAATTTTTACAAGACTTTCCCGCAGATTTTCCGCAATTAGCCTCCAACTCATAAGATTTTCTCGGCAGCTGTGGCGTGTAATACAAACTATACCTATTAGCCTTAACATTAATTTTGGAAATGACTTGTTTGTCTTCTCTCAGCTCATCAGTAGAGCTGCACTTCCTAGCGCTGTTCAATTTATCCTCACAATCTTGAGATTTCTTCCCCGAGTAATTCGAGAAACAACTGAAGCGTTTTTTATTGCTATCGCGTTTCACAACCGGAGCCTTTTTTTCTCTCATCTTAACTTGGTCGCTGCCCAAAGACTTAACCGAGGTGTCTGGTTTATTATCAGCGACCAACTGGTCATTGGCTCTCAGCGGGATCAGCGAATTTTTAATCCTAGAATTCACCGAGGAAGAAGCAGGTTCGATCAACTTGGAGTTGCGATTAGCTGTCGAGCGTAAATTGTACTTTGGATTTCTCTTTAAAACCTGGCGACTGATGTCTTCGGTAACTTTCTTCCCAATGACAGTGGAGTTTAGCTTGGTCCCGCGGTTGATGGGGATATTGTCGAGGCTTTCCGAGGACTGGGTACTCTGGCTGCTGGATCCGCCGATAGTTTTGTTAAATTTAGCGAACTGAATATTAACGAAGCTATCAGAGGTCTCGATATTATTGTCTGAGCTGACACTGAGGCCGTCCGTCGACTGGGAGAAATTTTCAACGGAGGAGTACTTGTCATTGTCGTTATCACGTTTGTTACCAGCAGCAGCACCATTGGAAACACTATAAATACTATTTTTACTCTTCTTGCTACTTAAATTATTGCACCTTTTATCAGCGACCGGTTGCAGTCGGTGATAATCGTTGGTAATAGTCGATGATGATGATGATGATGTAGTTGCTGAAATTTTATCGGTGTTTGCTTTGGAATGGATGTCTGAAAGAGAATTACCATTTCTCTTATTAGTGGAATGTAAATTATTATAAACCGGACTTAGATAACGTCCGTTGTTATTTTTATTACAATTAACGTTTTCTAGAATACTGTTAAGCGATGATGTAACACTCTTGGAGGTTTTTTGCCCCACAATGTCATCATCAATATTATGCATAAGGTCGCGCATCGAGCTCGTGAGAACACTTATCTCTTGCAAGCACTCTGCGCTCAGTGATATGGGCTCTTCGTTATTAATGGCAAAGCTATTGCCGTTGAACTTGTCGGTTTCATCACACAGCTGGTTGCTCTTTGGTTGGTCTTCCGACCAGAGCTGGTGTCTGCTGACCGGAGACTGGCAGATGTCGGTGATGCTCCCGTCGCCGTCGCTCCACTGCTTGCTCGAGTTCAGCTCGAAAGACGTGTTCACCCTCAGCGGCTGACACTGCTGATTCCGGTGTTGCTGCGGCGATTCACTGGCTGCAATACATCGAGACGTGGACTGCTCGCCTCCTAGAAAGCTCTGCAGATGTACAGAGACCGGACAAATAAAAAAAAAGCGAGACTACAGATAGGCCAGACTACTACATAAGCATTGCTACAAGCTAATTTATCCCAATCTAATTATAAAATTCCTTGATTGTTTTTTTTTTTTTCTGTGATAAAGATTAATTTTATAGCTATTTGTTTAAACCCCGAAGCCAGTGAAGCGTGCTCGAGAAATACTACAGCTAGTGTGATTTAATGTACACTCACATGTGTAAACAGTAATATGTTGATAAGCTTATCAGTTGTAAAAAAAATAAAAATAAATTTTTATACGTACAAGATTATTATCACGATTATTGTATTTGGTCGGCTTTTACTACCCCAGTGTTTTTATAGAGAAGCCATGCATGATATATATTATAATTCTGCTGTTTTATTAGAGATTTTTTGTTATTTTTTTTTATCATAATTCATAAGACTGTACTCAAAATTGACTTTTTTTATAAACTTACACGGAAAAAATTAAACTGTAAAATTCACTCGGATCCCGGTTAATTTTTATAGTTTTAAAGATTACAGCGGACATCGAGGTGGCATAAATGTAAATATTACAGAATTTAATGTAGAAAATTTAGTTAGTAGCTGTCACTACAGTAAATAACGACTCTCTCGTCTTAAAAAATTACAGCTTCAAACAGTAAAAATTGTCGTTTCAATATATAGTCTATACTATGAGGAGAAGAGGAAAGTCTCATACTCGAAGAATTTAACATTTGAAACAGTAAAAATTCTACTCTTAAAATATATATTTTACCAGCCCAAGCAAATCAATAATTATAGTTTGATTTTTAGCGTTGCGTTTAAAATTTATCATTTTACTTTGTAAAAATTGACGTTGTTTGTATAGAAATTTAGTAACTGCAGTTTATATTTTTTACATATCATGCGATCATTTTTTAGGTACGAAATGATAAATATCAAAGTCTAAATTCTTAATTATTATACTTTAACAATTTCGACTTTCACAAAGCGAATATTACTGTTTGAAATAGTATTTTCTTCCATTTAAATAATAAATCGTAGTATTTAAATGATAAATATTATAAAGTGATTGTTAAAATCATGATTTTACTGTTTGAAATGGTATTTTTTAGCAGTTGATCATTACTTATTATAAATCGACTATTATTTATTACAGTTTACTTCTTTCCGTGATGTACTTAAAAAATATTTACTAAAATTAATTTAAAAAGTTGTGAAATTATTTTTAAAAAATCAATTTTTTAACCAGTCTACTCTTGATAATTAAAAAAAAAAAAATTATAAATTACCACAAGCCAAGGATGGTCTAAAACATCTTCAGCGCTGAATCTTAACTCTGGCTGAGCTTGGAGCATGTTTGAGATCAGTTGCTTCGCGGAATCAGAAATCGGATCCCAGTACGGCGAAGTGAACTCATACTGACCGCTGAGAATCCGCTCAAATAGTTCCTCTTGGTCATTTTCAGGTGAAACAAATGGTGGGAATCCACAAAGTAGAATATAAAGAATAACTCCAGCGGCCCACACGTCAATCTACCAAACAATATTACATTATTGAACGTTTCAATATTAATTATAAGCAATTAAATAAAATAGAGTTACAAGAATAAGATAACAAAAGAATTTTACCTTCAATCCGTATCCCGTCTCTTCAAGTATCTCGGGCGCAACGTATGTAGGTGTTCCACATACTGTATAAAGCGGTCCGGTGACAATTTGTGCTAGTCCAAAGTCACCAAGTTTTAAGCACCTTACATGGCTACCCTCCATCTCAACGAGCAGATTTTCCGGCTTCACATCACGGTGAACTATCTGATGAAAGTGCAAGTATGCTAATGCCGATGTCAAGTGACCGATCATTACGCTCGCTTCGGCTTCGGAAAATTTAGTCGCTGCTGCTATTGCGTCAAACAAATCTCCACCCTAATGAGTTAATGGCTTTATTAAGTAAAACTGATCAATTAGTAGATAACAAGGTAATTAAGTAATTAAAATAAAACCAAACCTTTACTAGTTCCATTACTAAAAATAACTGGTCAGTTGTTTCGTGTTCAGAAATTAGACTAATTATATTTGGATGGCAAACTTGTCGTAGAATAGCAACTTCACTAGCCAGCATTGTTTCTTTTCCCTGACATTTTGACTTGTCGACTATTTTCATGGCATATTCAGCACCAGTTTGTCTGAAAAAAAATTTTTTTTTGTTATTAAAAAATTGAATTCTTTTAAGGTAAAGTACCCAGTACTTAAAACACTTATAAAAATGGGACCAGTACTTGAAACAAAATTTTCGAATTATTGTAATAAAAAATCTGTATATTTATTATGAGTAATATGCGCATGATATAATTATTCAATAATACAGTAAATGATTTCTGTATGATTTTTTCGATTATAAATCAAAACAATTATATTTTTGTTAACAATTAAATTTAATTAAGGTAAGAGGTTGTAATAAATTAAAGTGTTTTATAGAGAGTGGTGTGTACTTATAAAAAAAGAGTGTACCAAAGAAAACGGTTAAAAAATAATTATGAAATTTTAAAATGGTAACAGTTTTGTAAAACATTCTATTTTTTTGTTAACTTAAAAGTTGACATGTCTAGAATAGTCGATAGATGCTATTTTTTTTTCGTGAGAAAGGTACTAAACCGTAAACCTAACAATCAGTAAAAAAACGGTATATCATAATTTTAAGTAAAAAAAAATTGTGCCACCTAATGAAATAGTCTTTTCTAAATAATACATATTTTATGTAAAGACAAACTATAATTTTTATATCAAATTTTAGCGTCTAACTATACCTCCAAATTTTCAAAGCGGTACCCAGAACTTGAACAAGCTGGGGCCGTATAATTTTAAAAGTACTCTAAACTCTAATAGGTTTATAGACTAGTGATCGGAATTGTGATTTGTATTAATTACTGCAAATTAAATAAATTGTATAGCTAAAAATTAGTGTAGATAAAAATTATTGAACGTTTTGAATTGAGTTTTTTTGATTTATAATTGAAGATTTGCTTTGTAATTCATAAAAAATGTAATTAAAAAATTTAACACAAATATTTCTCATTTTTAAATGAACATATTAAATATTTTTAGTATTATTTTTCATATTATTCAAAAAAATGTTATAATTCTTTTGATATTTCAATAAAACATTAAAAATTTTTACTACTCCTAACATAGTCTATCTTAAAAACGTTGTCAAAATATAAATATTAAATTATCTGTGTTATTTTACGCTTTAATTAATTCAAAATTGTTTATATTTTCATGAAAATTATTAATTTGAACCAATAATCACATCTTTATATATTAAAAGTAGGGTCAAATACGTTTTACTTTGAAGCCTGTTCAACTACTGGGTACTTTATCTTAACTTATAATTAAAAAAATTTTTTTTAAACTAGAGTTTAATTTTAAATAAAAAAATTCTTACTTATGAGTACAGTGTCGAACAACTGCAAAATTTCCATCACCAATAACATGTCCCACATTGTAGTGCATCCTAAAAGGCTGTGGGAGGGTCAAAGTAGAAGGACTGGGAGTCCTGACTTGTGGAGCAGTGAGCGTTCTTTTTCCAGTCTTCCTGGGCATCACCGGCATGGGCCCACTCTGTCTTTTAGACACACAGGAGCCTCGCTTGAAGCTCTGCACACACTTACTCTCCTCAATATCCAGCTCAAAGTCTTCCTGGGTGGACTTTTCGCTCCCATACGCGAGAAAAACCTCCTCGGCTTCGAAGAACTGCTCCAATGAGATCACCAGCTTGCCCGAGAGCGTGTAGACCCGTTTGACAACACCGCAGTCCAGCTTGACCGTCTGAGTGATCGCCTCCAGCACATGCTCCAAGCTGGCAGCGTTCCTCTTGTTGATCAGCAGCCTCAGGACCTTGCGGGGCTTGCTGCCGTGTCTTATCAGCGTGATGATCCTCGCCCTGACACACGAAGGAATGATTGTGACGATTCTACCCGTGCCAGCTGGAGACTGCGGCAATCCCGAGAGCGAGCTTCCTCTGCGGACTTTCGTCGACGAGTACTCGACTTTCTTGAACAGCTCTCCGTGTCCAGAGACCACGTAGCACTTGCCGTCCTCCAGGTCGTTGATAGTCTGGACTTTCTTGCCGTCCATCGAGTAAATAGTCCGAACTCCATTGGGCAGAGTCACGTTTGACAGCAGAGCCCGCGTCAAATCAGTCGTCAGGCTGTCAAAACTTCTGTAACGCTCTGGAGTTACAGCCATAACAATTCCAGTGTAAAATTTGTCTCCATTGCGAAAAAATCTGACGCGCTTGGCCTTCTTTGTCGCTGGAGTCCTCAGCGTTGGCGGTGTTTGGTTTTTAGAAGTGAAATTGTCATTTTCAATTATCAATCTTTCCTCCAATGATCCCATTATTCTTGGACTCAGCTCCTGGGTTGATAAATTGCTTTCACCGGACAAAGATGTTCCCCGGCTTAATGCTTTCTCCATCATTCTGAAAATTAATTAATTAATTTATTTATTTATTTATTATAATTATGAATGATTCAATTAATTTTATAATGATAAAAAAAATAACCAGATTTATTATTAGTAACTTAAAAAAAGTAAATAAAAAAATGACAGATGCTACCGGGCGTACCTAACCTTCAGACGCAGCGAATAATTTTTTTTTTGTATTTAGTAAGCGATAGTATTATGTAGAACGTAACTAGGTAATACATACAAGCTATATATTTCTCACTGGTCTACTGTCTGCTGATGATAATGATGATGATGATGATGATAAAACCAAGAGCTTATTGGGTGTTTTTAATAGGTCAGTCAATGAACTTACCTATGGACTAGAAGATGCTGATAATTAAATAAGCAAAACGTTATTTATGATTTATAGTTGTGATAATGGTGACCAAGTCCAGTTCCAGCGGCCAGTGATTCATCAGAGCGGTGACATTTTTGCTTCCAGTCATTGATTGTCACCAGACACACAGTCAACAGTTATTTATTAGTAGATATTTATACGAGGATTTTTTTTATTTATGTGGACACCAAATTAACAGCAGGAGCAGTTGCAACTGGACAGTACGTAATGTGCAATGGAAAATATTAGTCAGCCTCTCACTCCCCACTACTTTTTGTTTTCAGGTTTATTAAAATTATAATATATAATATCGACACTTTTAAATAATTATGTTAAATGTTTCTTCGCTCGATGATTGATTTTAGTTTTAGTTTTAGTGCCTGGTAAGTTTCAATTTACAAGTATGCTAAACGAGTTATTGTTGAATTATAAATAAATGCTGCTCAGGCTTGTCAATGATTTATCGAAAGCGGAAATATTGCAATGGCGCGCGGATTTGAGTCAATTTATGTGAATTTGAAAAAAAAAAAATTATGTAAATATTGAAAATTTTTTTTTTCTTCTTTTGTTTATTTATTATTTACGTCTGAGTGTAATTTTAAATATATTTAATAAAAATTTTATTAATTTCTTACCAGCTGATTTTTGGAATTTCTGGAATAATTATCTTGCAAAATTAATTACATCAATATTTTATGTGCAGGTTTAAAGAAGACATTCTATTTAAATGTTGATTATAATTATTATTTTTTTAATAATAATTTTATAAAATTATTTTTGACGATGGATGAAGTTAAGAACGGAAATTTAAGTGTTGATAAGATAACTTTTTATTTTTACAACACACAATTTTTCTACGACAGATGGCGTTACTGCGGCCATCTTGAATTCAATAACTGAAGAAAGAATTCTACTTCCAACAGTTTCAGACATTTAACAACTGTTTTTTATTTGAAGAAATGAATTGAACATTTTATTGAATTGGAAAGAGTCAATATTAGAGAATTCTTGGGTTTTCATTGAAAAAGTTCAGTAAATAATTAAACAGATGTGTCAAAAATTTTTAAAATGTCTACGCAATAATATTAATATTAATTAATTAATTGTGATAATTAAATTAACAGAGACTTTAATTTTTTTAATTTTTGCCACTGAGTTATAAAAAAAAAATTTCAATTAAAAAAAATTCCACGTTTAAAATTTAAAAAAAAATGACAAGTGCAAATTTTTTATAAATATTTTTATGACATTAAAGTTAGCAGTTACTTGACCATTGTTTAATTTTATTTAACAATCAAATTTGTTTTGAAAAATTATTTTTAAAAAATTGCATTTTTAATTATTTTAAATTTCTACAAGTCAATTTTTTTTTCTAATATTTTTTTGCAATAATTTATTTCTAAAAAAACTTATCAAATATCTGCTACATTAATTTTCATAATATTTTTTTTCAATAATGAATTTGAGTTAAAAAAAAAAAATTGACAGATGTCAGCTGATTTCTTCACAATAATTAATTTAATAGAAGCGCATGAATGAGAATCGCTATTTTCTGGTATAACCTCCATTGAAGCTACAAGGATCATCTTCTTAAGCGAAGATTAAAGACCGAACCAAGAATCTATTTATATCTCCAGCATACTAATGAGTGTAAGTTTTATTTTATTAGTAAAAAAAAAAAAAAAAAAAAAAAAAAAACCGATTAAAATGAATTATCATATTGCAGTACGAGCGTAGTACGCCCACCAGCAGAGCGTCGATTCCGGAGTCAAAAAATGTGAAAGTAAATTTCCTAGTAACTGGGAACGAATTTGAATGACGTTATTGTTAAAAAAATGGATGCTCCTGACTAGAACCTTTGGAGGTCCCAGGGGTTCTCGATACCTGGATGTACCTGTGGGAGCCGAAAGGTAAAAAGCAGTAAAAAGTGACGAATCCTCTGATGAATAGTATGACAAGCACAATGGAATACCCAGAAACAAGTTACGCACCTGGAACTAAAGAGAACAAGAAGAAGAGGAGTCGTAGTCGGGAGCTAATCGTCGACCTGCGACGCGAGTAGTCGCGTAGTGTCGATGTGGTGGTGGCGAACAGCCCGAGTCTCGAGTTTAGCCGACACAGCCGATGCGAGGAGTGCGACACAGAGCGACCGGCGAGTTACAGCCACGACTGGGACTGGATAGGAGTTAAGTTATCCGAGACTCGCGTGTGAGTACGGCTACGAGGAAAGACATTAGACGTCATGTACAGGCGCACAAGTATACACGTAAGTATATAAAATATATATATATATATATATATATATATATAAATACACTTACACATATACATATATATATATATATATATTTATATTTATACCTATATAGGTAAAGCAAGAGTAAAGAGTAAAGAAACTCCGGCGGTTTCACTGCTTACCTCTATCCTATACTCCAAACTAAAAAGCATCTGAGTAGAGCTGAAGTTACAAAGGTGGGGGCCCTTGAACCGCAGCAACGCTCACCGCGTTCTCCAGGGGCCAGTTCAGCCAGCCAGTTTCGTGTGTATGTGCGAACGGCGCGGGTGTTTAATCTGCCGTTGGCACGACCATTAAAAAACTCCATATACTGTTTCTGTGACGGTGTTGTGTATGAGTTACTGTGGTAAGTGAATTATTCAGTTTAAAATCATCTACTCTTGATTGATTAAACTCACATCAACATCAGTTGACATTTATTGCTCTCGATAGTTGATATATAATATATAATATAAATTAACGGGAAATAAATTAACATCTAAAGCGCAGATTTAAGCTACCATTAAAAATCCACCGATTCGTGATTCATGATCATCCGATCAGAGTGAAATTGATTATGAATAAAATCAATGAATCGATTTTATTATTAATATGTCTGTGAGTTTAATTCACGTGGATTAAAATGCCAAGGATTTACGCGCGAACTCACCAAGAAATGCTCTGCTTACTTTTCGCAGGTGAGTTTTTTACTACAGTTTATGCTTATTAACATCTACGGCATGTTATATTATCATTATTATTCATTTTAATCATTTTGTGTACGTATGTCCGAATCATGATTTATTTCTCTTATCAATTTATAAATTATTTATATTTATTTAATTACCAAGACTTTATTGTCTAAACATTTATCCGCGAATCATCTTTATTGTTATTTGTATTTTCAACGTTGATAACAATAATAATAATAATATTCATAATAATAAGAATAATAATAGAAATTTTAGGAATAAATTCTATTTAAAAAAAAAATAACAAAAGCAGGTGCTGGTGACTAAGTCCGTGGAATTTATAAATTTACTACAAGCGTGACAGGTGGGAGAAAAAATACGGAGGGTAGAACCCATGGCCATAGTCCACAGGTATATAAGGGCACTCGATTATTTTTTTAAAGAATACAGGATTCTAGCTGTTGTTCTTCTACCTGAACGGAGTTTTAACAATTTTTTCCTACAATAAAATTTAAAAATGTATTTTCACTTTCTACGAGCAGCTCTAGAGCCAAGAGCCACAAAGACAGCCAACGAGTGCGTTAATTTAAAGCTAGCAGCGTGGAGTAATTTTTTTTTAGCCAAGTCTAGACTCAACTTGCTCGTTTTATTTCAAAATACCATCCAAAGTTATTACTTTTAATTACTACTTTCCCTTGTAGTCATTTATTGATGCTTTGCGTCGAAGTTATTCGTATTAGCACGGTATACACATTCATAAAGTATGTAATCAGTAAACCTGATCTAAGATAATAATTTTAAGTATGAGTATGAGTATGACCAGAATGACACTTGGTTGATATGAGAATAACTTGAGTCATTTAAACGATACTCCGATTGGATTTCCTGATTTAATTTTTTGCTATCTAGTGGATATGTATATTCAATTAAAAATTCAATCTATACTCCATCTATATCTGTATATCTATATCTATATTAAATTGCCAATTTCTCCTCTAGATTTCTATTCACGATTCACGATATCGAATATACAATTGTCGATTGTGACCAGCGACAAGTTTTAAATGGACTCGCACGAATATCGATCGTCTCAAGAGCTCCGATAGTGTGCCATCGTTTTACAGGCACGAGTGAATAACCTCATGCAGGAATATATAAATTTATATATATCTCCAGCTAGCTAAAGACTGATTTCGATCGCAAAACCCTGGACTATAGCTTTTCTTTTATTTTTACGTAAATTATTAATAATTTACTTTTACTGCCGATAAAGTTTACAATCGGTAAAAAAAAAACTTGTAACAGGTGGATCAAACAACACTTTGCGTATCAATTAATTCTCATGTAGTGGCTCATTTACAATTACAATGTAATAGGCCCGTCCTTCTCTAGAGTCGATCCTCGTTGGCTGTCTTCACGCTCAAGTGCGTGCATACTTTAAAAAGCGTTGTAAATACAGTACAGAACGCGTAATGTTAGCTCATGTTTCCTTCGATGCACATCACCGGCAAAACTTCTCCTATTTTTTACTCTAAATCTACACTAACATCAACACAAGCTAGCTTGATGGTAATTTTAAAACAATGTGTAATTTTTATATTGCATAATAAAATTATTTTTTATTCATTTGAATAAAAATAAAATTATTATTTATCATTGCAATTGC